TCAAGCCTCAATCCAATTGGACAATGTTTCAATTTCTTGTCATTGCTAGATGATGTTGGCCACATGGACCCTTGCATCACTTGCAGCAAATGTTGCGGCCCTGTTTCGACATATCCATCCAAAACAGCCCGGAACTAGTCATCAGTCAGACATTGCCTTGTATCGCCACTGATACCCTTGGCAGTGGGCTTACCATTTCATCTGAAATGCACAAGGCCCAGTCATCACAAAAGTAGGCGAATTGCAATGTCTTGTCTCGGGCAACTCTCGCTTCGTCTCGCATCAGAAATTCTTTTCTTTTCTCCTTGGGCGTAGCATTGGATGGGACAGTATGGGATCAGAGTAATGTGGGTTGAAATATGGTCTGCAAATGTGCTCCCACAAGTGCTATGAAACTCAACCGTCAGCAAAGTACAAACAGACTGCAGACTCATTTGTCTGATCAACCCTCTGTGGTTGAGACCTTGTAATCAACTCCTATCAGAGGCCTGATTTTTTCTTTCACTGACGACTGTGCCAATGCGTAGTCGCTCGGGTAGGAATAAGAACGTTGGAGTCATCATTTGGGAGTTTCAAGGCTCAACCACTTGGGATATTCTCATTCAAAAGGCTGAACCATCACCAAAGGGGAATTGTCAAAGTACCTCTCTCAATCAGTCCTATGCTGTCGGGTTCTTGTGTTCATCTTGTGTTGGATTAGTTTTCTCTCGATGCTTATGTCAATGCATATGCACTCCATTGGACAATTCAACAGTCAACAGGTATGGTTTCTTGGCTCGTCAACTTGATATGCAACTCATAATTAGTAACCACCAAATTGCAGGGGAATGGAAAACTTGCGTTTACATCTCACCATTGAATCACAGGCGTGCTCTCATGAGAGATATGAAGCAGTGCTGCGGCCGAACATAGGGAAATCGTAGGCATATCTTTCGAGGGATCAATCCTCTGTAGTGGAAACCTTGTGTACCTCGTGTCAGACGTTATATTTTTATTCCATTGTAGCCCATGCCAATGCGTAGCCATCCCGGAAATTGAAAGTGAAACGGTTCATCATTTAGGAGCTTTGAAGGTTTATCCACTTGGGAAGATTCTCCTAAAACTGAAGAGTAACATTCATAAAAAGTGGCGGAATGGGAGACTTGCCTTTCTTGATTTGTCTCAGCCATTACTAAGGTATAGGTGAGGCCTTATCCAAGTTTGAGTCTAGGGAGATTTCTCTAGAAGTCCATAGTCAATGATCAATAGGTTAAGTGAATAGAAAACTTGCCTCTCTCCTTTTATCTCAATCCTTCCACACGCTTGTTTTGACCTAAAATGTTATCATGAAGCATAGGGGGATCGCAAACATACCCCTCTTGATATTCGTGATCCGTCGAGTTCTCGCGTCAGGTACACTTTCTCTATTCGTTGTCTTGTCAAGGCACCGAATAGAGAAGGCGTAAGGAATCATCATTCGCGAGCTTTGGAGCTTTCCTCTCAATGTGCCTATAGACACTGCACGAGTATGTCGACTCGTGGAAGCGAGAAGTGGGAATCATACCTAGGCAATTGGGAAAGTCAGCGACGGAGATGTAAGCATGGGCCTTGGAGTTAATTGGAAAACAAATCCTCTTTAGCTTTGCATCAACTTGAATATTGAAGCCAGGACCGGGGAACCAGCAAACGAGAAGCAAAAGTGTTGCAGTGGTCTGGATCAACACCCCTGATCGGGGTAATTAGCCTCGCATCAGACTGTTCCTTTCATATCCTGTCCTCAGAGTCCACAGTGAGAGTGCGGACTAGGATATAGCTCAGTGTAGTAAAGGATTGTCATCATGTTGCGGGCTTCGATTGTTCTCAGGCGAGAAGGGCTGTCAAGTTGTACCTAAATGAGAATTAGCGATCTGCACAATACATTGGACTGGGATATAGCTCAGTGTGATAAAGTATTGTCATCATGTTGCGGATTTCGATTGTTCTCAGGCGAGAAGGGCTGTCAATTTGTACCTAAATGAGAATTAGCGATTTGCATAATACATTAGGGCAATTAGTAGGGAAGCCAGTATTGCAGTGAATCTGGATCAACACTCTTAACCAGGGTAATTAGCCTCGCATCAGACTGTTCTTTTCATATCTTGTCCTCAAAGTCCTCAGTGAGAGTGTAGACTAGGGTGCTCTTGTAGTAGAATGTTGTCATCATTTGCGGGCTTCGATTGCTCTTGGGCGATGAAGGACTGTGTCAAGTCATACCTGAACAGGAAATTGGCAATCTAAAGCGATGCATTGGAACGATTAGCAGAAATCCCCATGTCAACGCGGGGAGAATTGCCTCATACCTTGAGAATATCGGTAATTTCGTCTTTGGTCTCATATCAACCAGAGAGATGCATATCAACACCGGGAGTTGGGATCGAAAAGTAAATGAGAGTTCCAAGGACTTGGTCCGAATCAACCGTTTGACTTGTCGCAGCTCAGACAGACTGATGTAGCTCTCTGGGTCATTGAAAGTTGCGAATATATTCAAGTTCCGGGTTTGCAAGCTTTTGAATTTCCTAAATATTAGCATCAAGCCATACCTACGTGCGATAGAAACGAAATACTTTGTCTTGGAAGTGTGAACCCAAAGACATAATGTGGAATTGGATCACAACAACAGACGAGTCAGTCTGCAGATTAAGCAACCTTGTTTCTCCAATTAGCATCGGTGTTCAATTTCATTCTCACCTTCGAATTGTAGTCCTCGTAATCTGAGCATTCAGATGATTGGAGCCATGGCGGTTAAGGGTGAAATGGAATGATCTAGATATCGCGAATGTTAGCAAAATAAAGCCGACGTAACAAGAGCTGCATGATCAGCCAAGGAAATGGGGTATTTTTTTCGCCCTGTATCAGATGTGCTGGGAACGTATCACTGAGTCCATTGGTTCCGATGCTCCATGGTCACTCAAAATGTAGTATCTTGTTCTTTCTCATCATAAACCGTGATTTCTGCGGCACCGAATATCAATTGTGCCTGTGGGTTGGAAGGATAATCATACCTTGCCGTACAGTATGGAAACCTAGAATATCTCATGATTATTAGCGCGGACTTCCGACATCAAGGCAGAATGACGGTCACAGAATAAGCCAAGGAAAGGAATCTCCTTCATTTCGCATCGTATCAGAGTTCTTTTCGGTTCTTTCATTTGGCTGAGTGACCGAGTCTCTGGTTGTGCCCCAATGACAGTGTCATTGGCAGGCCATAGCCACTTCCAAAGTGTATATTCTCATCATAACATGGGATTTCGGGTCCACCGAGTATCCATTGTGCTTGTAATGCGAGGGGATTCATCGAGTGGGTGAACATGATATGCTTACCTGGGTATCTGGGGGTGTCAGCAATGATTGTCGAACATTATTCCATGGTATAAACAGTTTGATCAACAAACGAGATACATTTCTGCTTTGATGCGAATTAGCTTAGTCCTTTCACTTCCGTCGAAAGTTTGTTCTTAGCCCATTAGCCTCTGTAGCTCGAATAGCCATTTGCGAGCCTCGAGTCCCAAATGCCATTTGGAATTGCATGCGGTCGAAGCGATCGTATTGTCATATGTGCGCGTGTCGACGGCATGGATACTATTCATATCTATTTCCCAAACGTTAGCGAATCGGTCCAATAATACAATATATATAGTGACGATCGCCGTCTCATCAATCGGAGAAATAAGTGCTTCAACTCACATCAGATCAACTGCAACGATAATGTTAAGAAAACTGTTGTATCATCGTTCGCTGGATTTGAGTCGAGAAGTCAAACTTGAATTAAGGCCCGAGTCATAACCAATCATAGAGACATGGTATCCTAGGTAGATTAGCGAAAATGGGAACGACTGTTCTATTGACCGTTGAGTTAACCATTGGACTGCATGTAGGGTAGGTGATGGCTTCCTTCATCTCGCTGTGGGATATTCGACGGCGAGACATCAAGAAAGGTGGGACTTACCGTACGGTATATTGTCTGAAAAGCCACGGTATGAACGTCGCAGCTCTGGAATCGCCGCAGCGACGCACGTCAACAATGTACAAACAACGTAGGCAACGAAGTAAACGAACACCTCTGTAGTCGCCGCAGCGACGCACACCAACGAAGTATAGAGGAACAGCAAGGCTTCAGAAACCTGTGGAAGTAATAGTTGCTTCGACGTAGTTTGTCAGATCTTTCTTTGCCGCTTTAAGATCCTTTCTCTCGTTAAGACCTATGTTTATCGCCTTAGATTTATTTAGAGTGCTGTATGGCAGTATATATTTATTGTTAGCATCAATATCATTATATTCCATTCCGTTGATCTAAAGAAGTAGGCATCATATAAGCTGGGGAAGTCCATACAAGTAGATGGGCTTCCCATTCTCACATAATAGTCTATTTTAAATTCTAGAGTTATTGGTCTAGGCTCCGTACAAGCAAATAATGCATTTTTGGCAGTTCTTAAACACATAGACAGCTAGTTGCCTCAATTCGAGCCATTTATGGTGCCCGTTACATTGATAAGACCCCTATATGTTGATACTTTTGAAGCACTATGTCTGAAAGAAAAAGAAATTCACTCTTTATATTAGAGTGTATCTTACGAGAATCGTGAACTAGTTATGTAGATATGTAGCTATCGAGTTAGATACATGCAACTATTAGGGCACGATATGATCGCCTGATCCCAGGGGCGGGTATACGTATTTCCGATATCGCCAAGATTGTCACTGCGGACCTGGGGCGCAGGGCGCAAGCCCTGGAGTGCTGACTAATCACAATTTTCACCCGACTGTGGACCTGGAGGCCAGAGCCAGAAACACTTACGATGCTGACATAATCTCACCAGCGCGGAACAGGCAAACGCGACCTGACGCGTGGTGTTCGCGTGCCTGGATGAATTGCGCGACACTCCTTTCATCCTCCCTTTCCCCGCAACAACCGTCAATCCGATCTACTCTTCTTTACGCAGTCCAATTCTATTTAATGGGTAGTGGTCTTTGAACAAACGACAATGCCTACAGCTCGTGAAAGATTGGCCGAGCTGAGGGCCCTCCGTGCCTCAGGAAAGAAACGAATTTCCACCTACGAGGTCGAGGACCAGGGCGACATCTACGACGAGGTTGATGATGACGGTTACAAAAAGGTTATCCGGAACCGTCTTGATCAGGATGATTTCGTCGTCGATGATAACGGTGCCGGTTACGCGGACGATGGCCGCGAAGTTTGGAACGAACAGACTGCCGAATATGACAGCGACGAAAGCGACGAACTACCTACACGAGGCAAGGCTGCCAAACGAAAGAGGGAAGAGGAACAACAGCGAAAGGAGAAAATGAACAATGGCATATCCAAGTACTTCAACAAAGGGCAGGCCGCGGCTTCTGCTCCTAAGCCCAAGGTGAGTCCTTTCTGCTCTTGGGATCCAAATCCCTGATTTTAACAATCGGTTTTATAAGCCCGTTGCTACTGCCGAGGATGATGCATTCATGGCCGATCTCCTTGGAGAGGTCGATACCAACGTCGTATCGAGCCACGCCCCGACACGCAACATTGTCAAGTCAGAAGCCCGACGCAAAGTTCGCGTTCTCTCCCCGCCCTTGTCTGAGAAGCGCCGCCGCGAGAAAATTCACGCAAAAGACGAAAATGACATGCCAAGCTCGCCAATGAAGGACCAGGCACTCCAATCTGACGATCTTGATGACGGCCCTCTACCGATGCCAGACGATGATGATGTCCCCATGAGTGATATCTTGCCCTCATCTCCAATTAGCAAAGCAGTGGAGCGGAGGAACGCTGTACCGGTCAAGGCTGAAGAGCCAGAAGACGATGATGTTGACCTCATGGACGTCGCAGAAGTCACTGGAGACTCTAGCCTTAAAACGAAAACAATTAATATGACCGGCAGTCGGCCGCCCCCGAAGATCAAGCATGAAGTTGCTTCTACACCAGAAAGCTCGTCCCCAGTCAAATCAATGCCAGAAGTAATGGATGCTTCTTGGAATGACGTGAGGAGCAAATTGAACGTTCTCAGCAGTCCAGCCCCGGAAATGCGATCATTCGGGAAGCTTCGTGCCCAAGATGTTGTCGAAGAGGACGGCAGTCTGCGCATATTCTGGCTGGATTACACGGAAGTCAACGGCAGCCTGTGTCTGTTCGGAAAAGTGAAGAACAAGCAGAATGGAACCTACACTAGTGCATTCGTCAAGGTTGACAATATCTTGCGAAAACTTTATTTCCTTCCGCGCGAATATCGATACAAGCACGGACGAGCGACTGAAGAGGAGGTTGGCATGCAAGATGTTTACTCAGAGGTCGACGAGATGATGTCAAAACTTAAGGTGGGTATGCACAAGATGAAACCGTGCGAAACGGAAGTACGCATTCGAAATGCCCGGAGTCCCAAAGGAGGCAGAGTATCTCAAATTACTCTACCCCTACGACAAGGCTGCACTGCCAATGGAAACTAAGGGAGAGACCTTTTCGAACGTTTTCGGTACCAATACCTCCCTATTTGAACAGTTTGTTCTCTGGAAAAATATAATGGGCCCTTGCTGGCTCAAGATCGATCAGGCCGACTTTGCCGCAGTAACCAACGCATCCTGGTGCAAGTTCGAATGCCAGACCACCAAACCAGCACTCATCAGCCTCGTCCCAGATTCCGAAAGCCTGGACGCCCCGCCCTTGACCTTAATGAGCCTTTCTTTCCGTACCCAGCTCAATGTCAAGGAGAACAAGCAGGAGATTCTAGTAGCGAGTGCCCGAGTGTATGAAGATGTTTCTCTAACTGATACCACTCCCCCAGAGAAGCTTCCCTGCAAGACATTCACCGTCATGCGCCCTGCTGGTGGGTCATACCCAATGCATTTCGAAGCCGAAGCACGGAAACAGCGGGGAACTGTCATTCTCGAAAGAAGCGAGCAGTTCTTGCTCAGCAGGTTCCTGGCTATGTTTGAGAAGATGGACCCCGATGTGATCATGGGCCACCAGTTGCAGGATGTCGACCTGGGCATTCTACTCAGCCGGATGCGTGAAAAGAAGACTCCTGGATGGCATCGTATTGGCCGACTCAGGCGTGGAGATTGGCCTAAGAATTTCAACAAGGGTGGCAACTTCTTTGCGGAAAGGCAGTTGATTGCTGGAAGATTGATGTGTGATGTTGCTAACGACATGGGCAAGGTAATGCTCTCTTCAAAGTGAGTATATGACAATGCTGACAACCACTAGTCTCTTATGATGAAATGCCAGTCGTGGAGTCTGACTGAGATGTGCCAACTCTACCTCGGCCAAGGCAATGTACGCCAGGAAATAGATGTCGAAGCGGCATTGAAGACCTGGGCGACCACCAAAGAAGGTCTCATGAACTTTGTCAATCATTGTGATACAGATACATACTTCGTTGCGGCATTGGTTCTACGTCTCCAGATGCTGCCGCTCACAAAGGTCCTGACCAATACCGCTGGTAATTCGTGGGCACGCACACTGAGTGGTACGCGTGCCGAGCGAAACGAGTATATTCTGCTACATGAGTTCCATCGCAACAAATACATCTGTCCTGACAAGTACTCGTCTCGTCTTCAGAAGGCAGAAGAGAAAATGCAAGATGGCGACGACGACGAAGCCGTCGACAAGAAAAAGAAGGACAAATTCAAGGGTGGTCTTGTTTTCGAGCCCGAAAAAGGTCTTTACGACCGCTTCGTTCTTGTTATGGACTTCAACAGTCTGTATCCCAGTATCATCCAGGAATACAACATCTGCTTCACAACTGTGGATCGAACAGCTACGGTAAATTGACCCAAACCAAGCCCCGTCTCATTTCATTTTTTCTAACGTGTGCAACTAGGCTGAGAATGAGAACGAAGAAAAAGTGCCAGATGTCCCCTCCTCTGAGCAAGAACAAGGTGTTCTCCCTCGGCTGATCGCGACCTTGGTTAATCGTCGACGCGAAGTGAAGAAGTTGATGAAAGACAAGCGTGCCACGCCCGAACAACTGGCCATATGGGATACAAAACAATTGGCCTTGAAGTTGACTGCCAATTCCATGTACGGATGCTTGGGATACACACAGAGTCGATTCTACGCTCGACCTCTGGCAATGCTCACCACCTTTAAGGGACGTGAGATTCTGAGAAATACCAAGGAATTAGCCGAAAGCCAGCAATTGCGAGTCATTTATGGTGATACCGATTCGGTCATGATCAACACGAATATGGATAACATGAGCGATGCCATCAAGGTTGGCGAAGAGTTCAAGAAATCGGTCAACGAACGTTACCGACTTCTAGAAATCGATATTGATAATATCTTCCGTCGACTTCTACTGCACGCCAAGAAGAAGTACGCTGCCGTCAATCTTACCGAGGTGGATGGCAAGTACGTCGAGAAACTGGAGGTTAAGGGTCTTGACATGAAGCGTCGTGAATACTGTGCCCTCTCAAAGGAGGTATCATCGAAACTGCTCAACGAAATCCTGTCCGGTGAAGATCAGGAAGTCGTGCTCAACAAGATTCACGAGTACTTGCGCGAGCTTGCGGGCAGGATGAAGGAATACACAATCCCGGTGCAGAAATACGTGATCTACACTGTATGTGATAAACGCCAGGAATCTTGGTCATTTTGCTAATGCTTTACCAGAAACTTTCAAAACGACCCCAGGAGTACCCTAATAAAGAAAGCATGCCACCGGCACAAGTTGCTCTCCGCGAAATTGCCCGGGGGAAGACAGTTAGACCGAATGACGTCATCTCATATATTGTGACGAACGGAGACTCAGAAACCTCGTCTCTGCCTCCTGCGAAGCGATCATACAGCCCACAGGATGTGCTGAAGCCGGATTCAGGGCTCAAGCCAGATGTTGAGTTCTACATTCTGAAGCAAATCTTCCCTCCCATTGAGCGTCTCTGTGCCCCGATCCCTGGAACTGATGCCGTCCGTCTCGCCGAGTGCTTGGGTCTTGATACTCGCAAGTATCAGATCAATACCTCTAGCTCCAGCGGCCAGCAAAACGCGGAGATCACCCCGCTCGAGTCCCAGATCCCGGACTCGGTTCGGTTTGCCAATTCCAAGCGGCTGTCCCTAAGATGCCGATACTGCAAAGAACAGTCTGTGTATGAGGGTCTAGTGACTTCATCTCACATGTGCACTGCTCACGGAATCATTTGCCCGAACCAGAGCTGCCAGAAACCCTTCTCAGTCATGACAATTGTCGCCCAACTGGAGAACCAGATCCGCGAACAGACCTCGCGATACTATGAAGGCTGGTTGGTATGTGACGATTCATCATGTGGCAACCGCACGCGGCAAATCAGCGTTTATGGACACCGCTGCTTGGGCCCCCGAGGTCGTGCAGAAGGCTGTCTAGGCCGCATGTCCTACGAGTACTCAGAGAAAGAAGTATACAACCAGCTTCTGTACTTCGCCGGTCTCTGGGATGTCGAGAAAGCTAAGGTCGCTGCCGAGAAGGAGACCGGAGAAAAGAAGGACAGTGTTGCCGCCCTTGCAGAGTTCAACCGCACAAGATTCGGTACGATCAAGGGGGTGGTGGACAGCTACCTGAAGAAGTGTGGTCGTCAGTGGGTTGAGATGGATGGTCTCTTCCGCTTCATGTTACAATAGATGCCTCGGTGGCGTATGGTTTTGGATGTCTGTAAATACACAAGGATACTGGGTCTGGGAAAGTTAGCATAGTCATGATCAAATCAATTTACATATTTTTGGGTCTTCAAGTATCTCGAGTAGACATTGAGGGTTTCCATCCATACATCCATGTATGCGCGGTACGGCAGTGTATAACCGTTTATGCGCCATATCGTATTTTGCCATTTCGTAAAATTTGTTTGATCTTCGAGCGCGGAGGAAATACGTAGATATGGAAATTAACGGCTTCAATCCAAGCACACTCACTCATACATATAGACCCTATACCAAAACGCCTCGATTCGATCCGAGCGAACCAAGACGTAGTTACATCAAAACTTTGCAGCGCTTGATCGTCCCGCGTCGTCATATAGCTCACATTCGGCGAGTCGCTTAGTCCCTCCCCATAGCTTCTGAATTACCCTAAATACAGCAAGTTGCGCTCGGCACGTGCCTATGGATAAATATGCGCCTAACTATGTAGCTCTACAGAATAGTTATGGTAACTACTTTGATTGTTTAAGGCACGCGTAGTAGTAATTCAGGCACCAATACCTTCCGAAAATGGCTAGTTATATACCAAGAACCTTCTGTCTTATCTTATCACGATACCCCCCAAATCTCCCGCGGTCCCCCACTCCGGCATTCTTCACTTCAGCTTGATCGCCAGTGCAGAGCAGACACCCCTGCTCAGTTGCTGATTGGCTCTTTCAATGATGTCTGTCAAAAGGGTTTTGGTTATTGCAGGATCAGACAGCTCAGGCGGAGCGTAAGTCCAAAATATCCCCGCAAAACCGGCCGCGGAAAAAAAAGCTATACCCCAACAACCTATCTACGAAGGGATACCTGACCTTATTTCCCTGTCATTTACGCTATATAATGGTTGAAGAAAAAGCTAACACATTCAAGTGGTCTTGAAGCTGATCAAAGGGTCCTTGCGGCCCATGGATGCTATGCCCTCACTGCCACAACTGGGTTGACGGCACAAAATACACTAGGCGTGCAAGACATCTTTGTTGTGCCCTCGGAATTTGTGAGAAAGCAGATCAATGCTGGACTGGAAGACGTTGGTGCCGATGTAGTAAAACTGGGTATGTCATTGCATTTCATGATTCGTACGTATGTAGAACTGCCACTGACGGCCCTAGGCATGCTCTCATCTGCCGAGACCATTGATGTCATCGCGGAAACACTACTAGCTCACAAAGTCCCTATGGTCGTTCTGGATCCAGTATGCTCAATGCCCTGTTCTCAATCTGTCACACTAACAAGCATCAACAGGTTATGGTGTCCACTAGTGGCTTCCCAGTTGCTACCCGAAAAAGCAGTCAAGGAATTACGGACAAAATTGCTTCCTTTGACCACGATTCTGACACCAAACATCCCGGAGGCTCTTCTCTTGTTGAAAGATGCTGGTACAGAGACCCCCGAGCCGAACGACTTAGAGGGAATGGTTGAGCTCGCTAAGAAGATTTGCTTATTGGGTCCCAAGGCGGTTCTCCTCAAGGGAGGTCACCTTCCTTTGACGAAAGACCACAAGACATCTCAAGACCCGAAAGAAGGAACCTTGGTCGTGGATGTTCTCTTTGACGGAACGGCAGCCACCTTATTCGAGACAGAATTCTTGGTATCCAAAAATACCCACGGCACAGGCTGTTCACTCGCTTCAGCAATTGCTGCAAACCTAGCTTCTGGCAAGGACATGATCAGAGCGGTCCGGAGTGCCGTACGATTTGTTGAGGTCGGGATCAAGACAAGCATTGACCTAGGTAAAGGGAGTGGACCGATCAATCATTTCCACTCCACGTACACTATGCCCTTTGCACCGTATGTGACCTGTCCCCTGGATCTTTTTGTTTCTCGTCGTCCTAATAGTATGCCATTTAGCGGCCGATTCTTTGAGTACGTCTTGGACCGCCAAGATGTGCAGCAAGTATGGCACCAGTTCACCCACCATGAATTTGTCGAAGGCATGGGCCAGGGTACACTGCCTATTGAACGCTTCAAGGCGTACCTTGTGCAAGATTATCTCTACCTGGTGAGACAGCCATCTTCAATGCGGTTGGCAGAAGACGTTCGACTTATCAAAATTCAACATATAGGTACAATTTGCCCGAAGCAATGCGCTTGCATCATATAAGGCCAAGAGCATGAGTTCGATAGCAGCAGTAAGTGCTCACCATACATGTTCTCAATAACAACCTAACACAGTCACTCCAGTCAGCCCAAATTGTCCTCCACATCAAGCGAGAAATGGCATTGCACATCGACTACTGTGCCTCCTTTGGCCTTTCCAAGCAGGAGATGGAAGAGACACCCGAAACCATCGGTAAGCCGGTCGTGCTTCTTTATAGACTCGACAGATATACTAATGTCGGTATTTATAGCTTGCACCGCATACAGCCGATACATCTTAGATGTAGGCCAATCGGAGGACTGGCTAGCCCTCCAGGTGGCTCTCGCGCCATGCTTGATCGGATATGGCGCCATTGCAAAGCGGCTGTATACGGGAGAAAAACACCCTTCGAGAGGGAACACCTACTGGAAATGGATCGAGAACTATGTTGCCGACGACTACACGAAGGCTGTACAAATAGGTTCAGGTAAGTCAGGTTATGAAAATCAAGTGGGACATGTAACTGATTCCTGTTCATGTCATAGCATTGCTGGAGGATCACATGCAACATGTGTCGCCTAGTCGCATGGAAGAACTAATTAAAATCTTTGTTCGCGCTACGGAATTGGAGATTCGTTTCTGGGATATGGGCCTGGGAGGTAAGGCACAGTAGGTTTCACCTACACCTATCATGAAAATACATGCCTCTTTCAGGTTGTTGTGATTGCCTTAGTATGGATTACGGTGACCTCGGGAGAGATAACCGGACTTCAGCGTCATTAATCTGTCTGTTTGCTTCCAGAACGATCCATAACCCATAACAATTCACCTGCGTGTACATAAAAACATTAATCGTTGAATTTGTTGAATTAATCCCCCATTTCACATATTTCCCTCTCCCTAACGGACGATTCTCGAAAATCTATCACTTTTCCGTCATTTAGAATTAGAATTCGTCGCCACTACTGAATTCACAAAGACACTGCCTCATCGCCATCTCAAGATTTGCCCCCTTTGTATCCATGGACCGTTGATGCCTGGCCCAAATCTAAAATTTCCTAAATTTTCTGCCTGAGGTTGATAACAGCGACCAATAAAAGGCAAATTAGACAAAGCGGATGAAAGCGGTGAATTACCACTAAACCAGGTTAAGCAGGCGGTCTAAAAGGTACCGATCCAGGCCCAGTCATGTGATGATAGAAAAATACAAAGAGGAGCTAAGCCTAATCGAATTTTTACTCGCGCCTCCCCTGGGATTTTTTTATTTTTTTCTCCTTCCTTTTCTTTCAAGTTCCCGCTTCCTACTTCTTGTCAACTTGTTCTTTTTTTTCTTCCTTTCCCATCCCTCTTCTCATATTCTAATCCCTCTCTATATCCCCAAATCAACCCTTTCGCAGACTTAATCATGTCGTACGGAGGTGGCTACTCTCGCGGTGGCGGCGGCGGCGACTCTTACCGGTAAGTTCATTCTCACAGGTCTATCTCATCTGTCTATCTCATCAAATGCACGGTTTTCTGGCAAAAACCCTCGAGCCTGCAGTTGTTTGCGATGGCGCTGTGCCTGGGGATCTTGATCACGATCTGTCTCGCGATTTCCCAAATAGTGCCCAAGAGACGCCACATCTCGAGAAGAAGAATTTGTGCTAACTTTGATATTCTAGCTCCCGCGGAGGTGACGGCGGCTACGGCGGCGGTGGTGGTTACGGCGGTGGCGGCGGTGGTTACGGCGGTGGCCGTGGAGGTGGTTACGGCGGCGGCTACGGTGGAGGTGGTGGTGGTTACGGCGGCGGTGCCGGTGGTGACCGCATGAACAACCTCGGCGCCGGCCTGAAGACTCAGGACTGGGGTAGGTCCATCCCAACAGCAAGCGTGTTTGTTGACGCAATACTAACTTATGGTTTCACTTAGATCCTAGCACCATGCCCAAGTTCGAGAAGTCGTTCTACAAGGAGCACCCTGATGTTTCTGAGCGCTCGGAGGAAGAGATCCAGGCCTTCCGCAAGGAGAAGGAGATGGCTGTTCAGGGTAACAACGTGCCCCGTCCCGTCAAGACTTTCGACGAGGCTGGTTTCCCCGCCTACGTTCTATCTGAGGTCAAGGCCCAGGGCTTTGATGCTCCTACTGCTATTCAGTCCCAGGGCTGGCCCATGGCTCTGTCTGGACGTGACGTCGTCGGTATTGCCGAGACTGGTTCCGGAAAGACACTGAGTTACTGTCTCCCCGCCATCGTTCACATCAACGCTCAGCCTCTCCTCGCCCCTGGCGATGGTCCTATTGTTCTTGTTTTGGCTCCTACTCGTGAGTTGGCTGTCCAGATTCAAGCTGAGATTACCAAGTTCGGAAAGTCCTCCCGTATTCGCAACACCTGCGTCTACGGTGGTGTCCCCAAGGGTCCTCAGATTCGTGACCTTTCTCGCGGTGTTGAGGTTTGCATTGCCACTCCTGGTCGCCTGATTGATATGCTCGAGGCTGGCCGCACCAACCTTCGTCGTGTCACTTACCTCGTTCTTGACGAGGCTGATCGTATGCTTGACATGGGTTTCGAGCCCCAGATTCGCAAGATCATCAGCCAGATCCGCCCTGATCGTCAGACTTGCATGTGGTCCGCTACCTGGCCCAAGGATGTCCGTCAGCTCGCTTCTGATTTCCTCAGCGACTACATTCAGGTCAACGTCGGTTCCACTGATCTGTCCGCCAACCACCGTATCACACAGATTGTCGAGGTTGTCGCGGACTTCGAGAAGCGTGACAAGATGATCAAGCACCTTGAGAAGATCATGGAGGACCGCTCCAACAAGTGCATCATTTTCACTGGAACCAAGCGTGTTGCAGATGATATTACCCGATTCCTCCGTCAGGACGGCTGGCCTGCGCTTTGTAAGCTTTTGATAGATTCCCCACTGGCACATGTGCACGGTACTAACATATTTTCCAGCCATCCACGGTGACAAGCAACAGAACGAGCGTGACTGGGTCTTGAACGAGTTCAAGCAGGGCAAGAGCCCCATCATGGTGGCCACTGATGTGGCCTCGCGTGGTATTGGTATGAACAAACTACATCCCTCCCTCTTCCCTTCCCCCCTTTTTGTCCCTCCTTAGGGGCCCTTGGAAAACACTCACCCGTGTTGACGTTGTGTGATACAATGGCACGGTGCTCAACTCTCTCGAAGCACGTCGGTGTATACTCGCCGCGTCCAGGCGCATCTGGTCATCCTAAATGGTTCACATGCCAAGGGGACCTTGGACTCACAGTGCAGCACAGCAGCAGGCATTCTAGCTTGACTTTGATTCTTCCATTCTCCATCTCTTGTGTGACAGGCTCGTAGTAGAGTCGAAGTTTTCTTTCACACAGCGTTGTTCTTGAACTGTTGAACTGTTGAAGGCTGCATTTCCAAGGTTTCTCTAGGACCACGATAACACCCGCCATCCCATGGATTCGCTTCCCTTGGGATTTTCTTCACAGAAACCCATCAAGAGAGCAGTGATGCATCAAGTCCTGCACGACGGAGAAAGGGTCCTTCATGGCCATACTCCTCATATCCCCCACTAATGTTCTATTTGCTAACGATATTCCTCTGAAAAGATGTTCGCGACATCACTCATGTGCTCAACTATGATTACCCCAACAACTCGGAGGACTATGTCCACCGTATTGGTCGTACTGCTCGTGCCGGTGCCAAGGGTACTGCCATTACCTTCTTCACCACTGACAGTAAGTTTACCATTCATGTCTCGGACATTAGCAAGTTATACTAACGTATCTTTCTCCAGACTCTAAGCAGGCTCGTGATCTGATTACTATCCTCACTGAAGCTAAGCAGCAGATTGATCCCCGTCTTGCCGAGATGGTTCGCTACGGCGGCGGTGGTGGCGGCGGTGGTCGCTGGGGTGGCCGTGGCCGTGGTGGTGGCCGCGGTGGCTGGGGTCGTGGCGGCGGCGGTGGTGGTTTCACTGCCTCCAACGCTGCTCCCGTTGGTGGTAACCGTCGTTGGTAGATGTCTCGCTGCTGCTCCCCGTGCAGTCAGCCATGTTGCCTCGTATTGTGCTATCCCGGTAGACTCTTTCCCATTTCTTGACTTCATGCGTAACTTGGGCAGGACGGCGTTATCTTCGATGTCATAGATAGTTTTTATTTTTCTCTTTCGTGCCTATGCTACGGCGGATTTTTCAAGGTCTCGGATCTCGATTCATCAGCTCTGGTGGGATTCCAGGGCATGAATTCTCACGATGAATCCATACATGTTTACTAGTTTGAAGAAAAGTTCATGACTCAGAGTTCTCCTGAGCCTCAATCTGAAATAATGATTATCCTTTAAACGTTCTATGCTCCATCTCTCAAAACCAATGTATTGATATAGATGAGAATGTGCCTATGCACCTATCCCCAACCCTCACACTATTTCTGCAACCACCTTTCCACCTCCCCTGCCAAAACCTCATGCACATGGCTAGTCATATGACCCGAATTAAACCAGAAATACCTTTCCAACGACGTCGGACACCCATACTTCTCATACTCAACCGCAATATCCGGCTGATCATACCCAGCACAGAAATCCGTCGTATTCACAATATCATACTTCCAGGGCTCATCAAGCATATCAGCCAACCTCGCATGCGCATCAAAGAGCATAACCCGCGCCTCCCTATGGCTTTCCGCAAACGCAGCCGCATGATCCGCCAGCGCGGCATTGTACCACCCAACCTGCGTGGCGTTCGGACTTGGGTTACTCTTTGCTTGGTTCCCCGGCGTGCGGTCTCAGCGGCGGCAGGTTCATGAACAGATAGCTTCTGTAGCCCAGGCTGTAGAGGGTCTCTACGGATTCGAAGAGTGTGTCTGTGAGACTTTTGTAGAAGGTTCGGAAGTCGACGGCGTATTTGGCGCTGTCGTTTATGTCGTTTATCCCGATCCAGAGGGCGATTAGGGTTTTATCTTGGTTGAAGTCTGGTAGGCTTTGTTCGAGCGCTGGGTGGCCGTATTGCTTGAATTGGTTTATTTGGTCTACTAGGGAGACTGTGAAGTTGTGGTGGAGGGGTGTGCTTGTTTTCGGTTAGTTGGAGTTGTTCGTGGAACTTGTGGATTGTGCCGGGGGTTATTCCTGTGCTTACTGCTCGGTTGATATGTCGGCGCCTGCAAATGCAAAGTCCCAGAGTTGCTTTTTGCAGTGTTGTGGTGAGGTGAGGCCTTGGTTGACGCCGCAATTTGTGAGATACTCGACCCAGTTGGGGCCGCCTTCTGCTGTTGCGGTCTAAGAATGGGAAATTAGTATCTAAGTTATAACATGTTGGATTCAGTCGCGTCGAGATACAAGCTTACTTGGTTCTGGACTATCTGGTTGGAAAGCAGCGTTTCCGCGTCATATGCGAGGTTGAATTGGTCTCCAATGAAACTGTAATTCTGGCGTCCGAGGGTTCCTTGGACATAAGTGTAGGAGTCGCCGAAGGCGATTCTTTGATCTAGGGTCAGTGCTACTTGAGAAATTGAAGGCTGAATACACTTACAGGGCCTTGGTCGATGGCCAGTCGAATTTGGCTGGTTTTGATAGAGGAATTGCCCTGGCGGATGTAGTGCCAGAGGTGATGGCTAAGACGCATGTCACTAGAAAAAGCATTGCGGCTGTTAGTTAGTAGGTCCAGCACACATTGAAGTATGATTGCATAGATACTACGACATGCTTCTAGGCAGTACGGAATATATAGAGTACATATGTAGACAATCTAGTTTGCCTAACCCCGCAAAGGGTCGACATCCGGGGTAATTCTGCAGAGTCGACGGAATATATTTTTCCATCAGTTATTTTACTCAGCACTCTTTTGAATTAATACTTTGTCAGTGAAGGAAAGGAAGGGAAATGAGATCCGGGACTTGTGCTCACAGAAAGGCATTCGATATATTATTACAACTAGAATATGAGAACCTGTGAAAGTAAATCCTAAGCCTTTGGCCGCATGTATTTAAGATAACATATCAGCACTCGATTCTGGGCAGGCCATCCACGAGTCGCCAGTTGATGGATACTGATCCCAGCTGGCCCATGGTCCGTAGATCGTGGGCCACGAAACTACCAAGGAACCAACTTCGGAAAGGATCACCTACCTAGCTGGAAAATAAAAGACGCATTCTACCCATTCTGTCCCTGAGTCTGTTCACTACAACATAAATACGCTCTATGAAGCAGTCCAGATAGCAAAGTGCTTGGAGGTCGAAGTTGACGAGGACGAGACCGCCCAAATCCAGGAATGACCTATCCCAGCGGGTGAACATGAGACGGAAATGTTCGTATGAGCGTTGGTCTATTTATCGCGTGACACTTGTATAGAATAATTTATTAGAAAGGAAGAATTGTAAATAAATCGTTCGATATTAAAATTCTTTTCCTGGCAATGCTTCAAATGTTCAGTGTAGCCCTCTCTATATTCGCCTCTTAGACACCCAAGGCCAAACTAGTAAACTATCTATTAGACCTATCCTGACTGAAACCCAGAATTTATGGCAAAAAAAGGGGGCAAACGTAGAGAGTTTCAAGTGTATCTAGCTTTGACTTTTGCGCACACGCAACTAGTATGTCTCATCTGTCTTTTACTTCTGAAAAATCTGGCATCTGCATGAAACCGGGTATTCTACTATCTAGTAACCTCGCAAGGCGGCAATGTGATTGACAAGAGGATATTAGAACAAAAATAACAATTCGATCCGATATTAGTTATCCATGACTATGGCAGTCTTGTCGAAAAGAGATGTCTACAGAGACGTCGAGGTGCATGGTGAATGAGAGTCTGATTGACTGAGTAGTTGAAGAATTTAAGTTCTGGACTAAAGATTTGATAAGTCCCTCCAAGATCCTTCTTGAAGTCCCGTGTGCGTCGTCCAAAGTCCCGCTGAGAGATTATACTGAATCATACTGATGTCTATATCCAGCCCAAGCTTCTCGCACGATGATCTAGCCCCCATGGAATCGTCTGGATCAATATCACCCTCTTCTCCGATACCAAAGGATCTAATTGTAATTGTGTTCAACATGGGAGTCACAGACCGCGCAAAGGGGAGGAAGTTCTGAATTGCTTCTCCAACTTGATCGGTCTCCCACTCGAAGTCCTCCGTACGCCACAGGTTATCCCGAATGGCGAGCTTCCGAAGTGTTGGCGGTAGAAGCTCAGACAAGGCTGGTGCGTCGGCACAGGTCCACCCAAAAAGCATGACTGCAGGTAGCTCTGCGGTTCGAAGAAGCGGGAACCGCATCAAGATTCCTTTGAATGGTTTGAAGCTTTCTTGCGGGGTTCCATGGTTACGTTCTATTGCGCCCCAAACAGTAGGCCACCAAAATGGACAAAGCTCCATGCTAATAGAAAGATCTTCAACTGTGTCCTTTACACTCATCAGCCCTTCAAGAAGCACACCTTGCTTTTTGAGAGGAGGTTGAGGAGAGCAACAGTTATAACCGAGTTCCTTATCCTGTGATGGGTAGACAAGGCCTAGGTGAAGACTCTTCAGCGAAGAGAGATGCGACAGTAGTTTTCTAACATCATCCTCATCAACAGAAGATTCCGTTAACACGAGTCTTTCAAGCTGGGCCAGATGTGCCAGTTTATTTGACTCAGCAGGCTTGGACAACTCGTTGCTGACACCCTCGAAACTTTGGATCCAGATTTTCCAGGGATTTCAAAGAAGGCAGATAGAGCCAGCCTACAAATTGATCCGGGTCACAAACGGGGAATGCATCGATGAAATTCCATATCGTTTCGTTAAACCTTCTAGAACCTGGAACATTTAGACCGTACTCGACAACGGAGAGTTGTGAAAATCGAGATAATGTATTCTCAGACGCAGAGAGAAGAGCATGTCTCATCATCAATCCCGGAAACCCAGCTTGCCACACAAAAGTGTGATCGAGTTGCAGCGACCGTATATTATGAAGTTGAGAAAGAAGTACAGCCACAAATGCATATGGGTCACCGTGTTCCAGAGCATGAATCCACATTTCTGACGAGGGGAACTGCGCCTTGGCGATGATATCTTTCGCAGCGTTTACCTCACCCTGAAATAGAGATGAGAGCTGGTCGCAGTCGCCATCTATTTCAGGCAACTCCCACTCGTCTTCCGGGTCCGCTGCTGGATACATCAGCTTCGAGGTGATCATGCTCACATGGTGAATCTGCTCAGCCAGATCTGGACGTTCGTGAATGATACGGAATAGAGTCAGGACCCGCTTGAGGGGGGGGTCTGGTCCAGTCAATATCGACCCGGCGATATAGTGAGCTCTCCGAAGAAACTTGCAGACCTCGGGATGTGGCTACTACAGATGCAGCGTCAGAGGGTGAAATTTCATCCCGAATCTGCACCCAGCAATTTTGTGGGAGGGTTTCCAAGGCGCTGTTGGGGGGGGGGGGGTTAGCTTGAGCTGTTCTCGGTGTAGGGAAGGAATCACTTCGGTGTTGATGGTGCTTCACTCATAGTGTATTTCCTCGTGTAGCAATGTCACCTGGTGAAAACGTGTTCGTGGAGATTTTCAGGGAAAAGCGAAGAATTGGCAGAAATTTAGAAATTACGTTCATAAACAACATAATAAAAGTAGGAATAATAAAGATAATAAAGAATAAGAAGTACTCCCGAGAAGGAAAAGAGAGAGAGCTATCAAACATGTGGGTTCTATCACGTAGTGATGCCTCAGGCATGCAACAAATCTGAACATGAGAAGTAGGGTAAATGGGACACAGCAAGCTCAAAGGAGAGAAAGATCACACTTAGTTGAAAAGCACGATAGTCAACAAGTTACTACGGGCCCATTCAATCCCGTGTGCCATCTTTAGTAGTAGACTTATCTCTCGCCTTAGCTTTATTTCTCCTTTTCTTATTATGAGACGGCATATCTAGCATATCTAGCCCCTTATTGTCCGCTCTACTTCGCCTACAATTATCCTCTCACAGGGCAAGGCTGCAAGCGGCCTTACGGGTTAAGTCAGCATATAGCCACAGATGCTATCCACAGAGGCCTTGGTGCGTTACGTTGCTTGCCAGAGAAGAACGATTGATAGCGGATAACAAACTCCAAGAAAAGCGAAATCCAGGAATATGATACCAGAAGCAAGTATAAGTACTGACTGGGGTGGGGCAAGAGGCCTCGCGCTAGATACCCCAGCTTTATAGACCTTACCTCATTTGACACAAGTGTGTGATGAATCCGTGATCAGTCTACACCCTTGGGCTAAAGCCTTATTTACGTATACTATTATACTAGGGTTCGATTTCAAACCCGCCGAGATCTTCGCTCGTGCATGGCTCGACATTCAAGCTTTATGCTTAAACGGCCCACAGGGAGGCTATGTTGTGGGTTCCTTTTAGCGTTCCATGGCCTAACAAGCTCTGAAATATTAACATGTAAGCCTACATGGAGATCAGTGGGGGTCAGCCGTTACCTTTGTGGGTTGGTTTTGTATACAGCCGTATACACGCTTGGACTTGTGTCTGGCCTTGGAAATGTAATGGATCCCGCACGGATATTTCTGTGCTAGACACAGGTCTGTCGAGATTATCACGCTAATACAATGCATAGGAATACAGAGCCACGTGCAACAAGATGCCAGGATAGTTTTGTGATCTGACACAAGTACCAATTTCCCATCACTCTGGAGCACGGTCTTAACTCCAAGAACTTTAACAACACCCAAAAATGAGATTCCCACCAGAGAGACATCAAAGAGAGACCTGCATACATATCAATGCGTGTAGTCCGTACTCATACCGGGTACATAGTCTGGGAAGCATGTACCTACATCACACGCATGCACGCATACAACGTCCACCGCATGTTGAAAACAAAATACATGATTCAAGAAACGCCTAAGAGAGCGACGTGCAGTAGTGCGGGCAACAGACTAGCGTTAACCTTAGAAAGAGTGGACGGAGTAAGACGAGGGCTCAATTCCCGCAGTATGCATAGGTAGTATGCATAAGCGCCTCGTCTTCAACGCGTCGCCACCAAGAGTTTTCATCCGACGATGCACGTCGGAGACAAGGGTGGGTACAGCTCATGTCGTCGGTCCAGATTCGAAGCGAACCTTAAGAAAATTTACCCGCATTGCCCAGCCTGTCCGTGGCCAACAGGGGGCTGACCCGGCGCCAGGATGCACTAGTAAGACAACGTTCGCTGTATCAGGCGATAATGCGCCACTCAGTGAAATAAGAAAAAAAGGGCAAAAGTAAAAAAAGTAAAAAAAGTAAAAAAAAGAGAAAATATACTTTTGTTTACCTTCTTTCCTTTGTTTTGTGTTCTCTGGAGCAGACGTAGAACATGCATGGAAAATATAACTCTGCTCAGGAGATTTGGGTTGGTCTTGTTTCTGTTTTGGACTACAATATGCTGCGCATATCTATGATTCTGAGTCGCAGTATTGGAAATGGGAGCAATATCCAGATTAAATTATGCTTATTGGCAATAATATAGTACTTTCACATGTCTTTAGGAGTATGATGGGTATGATCTTCGATAATGTGTCACTTTCTTCTCGAAAGGTAAAATGGTTGGCAATGTGGCATTGGATTTACGCTGGCCTTCGTTAGATCCCTGTCTCGGGATCTGAATCCCTGCAGATATCAGTCTCATTTATTGGCGGAATGATGCCAGTCTCCTGCCATTTCAAGATTTCAATATCAAGGCCATCGCCGTCAGTATGTCTTTTAACCGAGGTTGCATCCAGTACATTTCGGTCTCAACCCCTTTAAAAAAAGATTAACAAGAAATTAAAGAATTTGAATGTGAAAGGGACCGCGGTTAAAAAAAAGACTCAGTTGGAATAACAGCTCAATGATCATCATCCGGGGCTGATCCGCATAGGTCTCTCTAACGCGATCTGCCGAAGCATTAGCGGATGAGACTTACTGTGTCCGGCGTAGTCTACCAGCATATCAACTGCACTGGCCAAGTGTGGAGTTTTAGGAAATTGCGGTTTCTTCCCAGAGCACAGACATTTTCCTGATAGGAACTTCGTTGATTTTACGGAGTACGGAGTAGTTACTGTATGCGCATCTCGTTCCTTAACTATAAGGCAGAGGTACTGGTCTTTTTCTTTTTGGTGTTGAGATGTGCCCAACTTAAAGAGTAACTCCTTAAGGAGTCACCGTTCTGGAGAAGACTAAAGCCAAGCCTTTTCTCTAATGATCGCCCCTGAACGATTACAACAAGAGCTTGGAAAAGACCGGAGAATAGCCGTATATTGAACATAGGCTCGGCCGGACCACATGTGGGAACATTTTCCGTCTTTTCTGACCTCCATTAGCTGGTTTAACCTCATTTAGAGCAAATTCGCGAAGTGGATATTATTCTGATATTCTTAGATTGCACAGGTAATCTGATAATATGATAATTTGATAAATTGATAATATACAATATAAAAGAACATGCAGAAATGGGCCCACGTGCATCGAGTGACACGAACGTCTGCAGGTCCTGCTTTTGGGTCAATTGAGACCTTTAATTCGAGAGATATTCTCTTGAATCTATCTTTACCGTCCAAATTAAAACAATAAGCCACAGCCGCGAAAGGCGCCTTGTGTGACATTATATGAATATAGCCAGGGGGCAGAAGAAAAAAGAAGGACTCCAAAATCCTACAATTATACGGAGTATGGAGCACTTAAAACGATAAATGCAAGCTGGACATGAAAACTGGGGACAATTGGAGCTTTCGGGATGATCGTCTCAAGTGTTACAAAGTATTCCGTAGAGGCCGTATTATTGATGACCTCCGTGTACAACATACGGAATACTCCGTACGGAGTACAGCGCGACTGCATACAGAGCGGCTGCGGCGTCCAATGATTGACGCGCCATATGGATTTGATATTGATCATCCCATTCTGCTCTCAACATCGGATATCCCGCACTGGACACTGTGTGTTGTCCGCGCGGAGTCCGTCCGGTCCCACTACGGAGTATGTCGTTTGGGATTGTCGGTGTCAATTTGTTTCAATTTGTTCAGTCTATTTGGCTATTGCCGGACATTGGATTATTATTTCTCCTGATAACAAGGTACTTGGTCCTCCGTACTTTTGCAGACAATAGTACGTGACTTGTCAGGCCGTGTCGGATGCAAATGATCCTGCGAAGAATGAAAAATAATAATAATAATAATTATCAGAAATCACAAAACAATCATCCACTTGCTTTTTCCTCACCGGCAGTGGAGGAACAGGTTCCGCGCCTGCGGGGTGAAATCCGGCCCCCTGAGAACGCCAATCATGAATTAAACAGAGAGTGTCAGTTTTCCGAGCTGAGAGCCTTGCATCTTGAGAATTTTCTCCCTAGTTTTTCCCGTGTTCTTCCTATCAGACTCACATTTATCCTGGGGGGGTTGACGGTACAATAACAACATACAGCATACAACATACGGAATAGACAATCTTTGATCCCCCACTATCTCTGATTGGGAGGCTGAAAAGTGAACATTTAACGAGCATAACGGATAACGGGGTAGTCCAACATACAAAAGGGGAACGTAAATACTGTAAGAATTATACTGGCCTCCACTATGGATTGAGCATTGAGCATACACTGATCGTACCGGAGAGCCGCCGAATACTCCGCTCGCAATTTGATGCGTTTGACCAATTGGCGGTGATAGTGGGCTCGTCCCACGGAAATCGCGCTGGGAAAACGATGGGCCCCCTTTCTCCTCTTTTCTTCCTTGGTACGGAGATTGGACGATGTGGTATGTGCTTTGTACTATAATTATCACATATATGTTGTATCGATAGAAACGGTGTCAATTGACAGATTGAACATCAACCATTCGCAGTGGTACTATGGGATTGGAAATCTGGATTGCAGGAATTAGGACTTCCGTCTCAATTTGAACTATTTGATCTCAAAGACATACAACGTAAATCTTCTTACGGAGACAAGTCCAGATGTCAGGAGATGGGCTCCGACCACCGGGGGGGTTGTTATTCCACTGTCCCCACTCACGCGTTTGTAGGTATCTTGACGGTTACGCGACCACTCCGTAGATACTCTTGCCATGACTCGATAAGTTTCATTGAAGAGGGTGAACATGACTAGTACGTAGCCAGTGATGCTAGATAGGGGTCTGGAAGAGGCATAAGCCTCTTTGTATTAATTAGTACGGAGTACTCCATATTTTGTATACATATGTACCTTGTATATATATACAATGAAGGACAGTTCTGCAAATAAGTATACCAAATACCTGTAATCAAATTGCAACACTGAACCTCCTTTTCAGGAAAAGAAGCTATCACCGGCTTCAACCGCCTCGGCTTTGAACCTTTACAGCAGACTTTGACGCTAGTCTCAAACAAGTCAGGCCTATCCACCGAGCTTCTCCAGTCTCCACTGTACCCCACTAGTTTTCTCCTATTGGTGAAGGGACAGAGTGCCTTCGTCCACACTAGCCCTGGTCTTCCCGAGTCCCATCGCTTCTTCTTCCCCCGACTTGCGCTACTCCTCTTTCTGCCCTAGTTCCCTCCCGTATCTCCCCCTCTATACCCCTTTAAGACTCGGTTCCATCTCTCGGTTGAGGTTCCTCGGGCACGCCATTCCTAGCGCCCACCTTCTTAATCAGGAGCCCCTGGCTCTGACAATCTTGGTCCCCACGGACCATACACGCTAGGTTCTCCCTCGACGCACCCGAGTTGCGGGGTAGACTAAGAGGCCTCCAGTTGGGAACCTAGTAGTCCTTAGCAAAAAACAACAACACCTGTACATATAATTTATGATATTCCATCCATTGGCAATAATTTTTTATTAATGATAGAGGAATCTGAGAGAAGTAAGTTGCCACTTCTCCCCTGGATGGTTCCGCTTTTTTTTCCCTTTTCAAAACCGGAAATTGGAAGAAAAGGGAAAAAAAGAAAAAGGTGTTATCACACGGACATGGAAAGCTTAGCCGGTAAGGAAGACACTGAGGGGAAAGGGGGCCAAGCCAGTTAAATGTCGGAGTATTGTGTGGAAAAGGGAATGGTCCGAGATCAGAGAAAGTAAATTATTTATTGCATTTTTTTTTTCCCTCTTTGATATAAATGTTTCTCCTCGGAATCTTGTCTCTGTATTTATAGTGTATCCCTGTCTACTATGTAGTATAAGTTCCCCAATACGGGAATAGATATATACGGATGAGACTTGTTATATTGAATATATCATAAGAAACCAAAATCATACAAAGCCCAAAACACCAATAGCCAAAAAAGAAAAAAAAGAAAAAAAAAAAAAAAAAAAGAAAAATCCAAAGAATCAAAAACATAAAAGCAATGCAGATGTAATTTTCCCACCCCGACCAACGATATCGCCAACCAAAATTACGTGGTCCACCTTGAGGATCCACAGCATCCTCGGATCCCACGAGGACTGCCTTTTCCTTTCTCCTAATCGTTACCTTTTAGGCCGCTCCAAGTCGCGTTGAACTCCTGGCCTTTTTTTCTTTTACTAGTCTCTTTAGTCTCTTTAGCATCCGTGGCTATTTTTCCGCCCCGGTGCCTCGTGCTTACCGCCACCTGCAAGGCATCCTCCGAACTAAGATTAAGCATCAAAGCATCTTGGGACCTTCTTTTTTTCTTTTCTTTTCTTTTTTTTTTGAAGCTACGCGCTTTCAACAATTTACAATATCTTGAATGTTGTGAATTGATTCTCTTCTTCTTCTTCTCTCCCAGATCTCTTATCTCCAGAGCATCTGTGCGCAAACCTGTTTGATCAGCGTTTCGCGACTACTCAACTTCACATATCAATTCCCTGGGAATTGAACGGAAAAGGGTACGTTAACAAGGAATATCCTACCTAGGTAGATCTGAAGAGGTTAGCCACGATCCCAACGTGGCAACCCCTAGTCTCCCATCCCCTTGCTTAGAACGTGTCGGACTCGTCAATTTCCCCGACCTTTTCCCACTTTGTTATGTTGACGCGTCTCCACAGATCCAACTCAAGAAATTCTTCCCTCAATAGATTCGTCGGCATCCTTGCGCGCGAATCTCCTCTTTTATGGACAACCGGCCCGCCTCCGAGTACGCACAGCAAGGTTCGCACCACCCAAACACCGTCACCGACGCACCTTCTGAACAAAAACCTGCAGACCAAAATTCTGCTGCTGCTGCTCACTACACCCCGCAACCCGAGGTCCGCCCTACGCCGCAGTACACGCCGCAGCCTGAGGTGCGACCCAATATTTCCTCGGCCAACACCCCTCAGTCGGACTACGGTTTGAACCCTCCGCCGACCGCCCGCTCGCCTGCCTACCAGGACTACCTTCACCGTCCTCCCCAGTCATACGCCCCCAACTCCCAACCGGGCGCTGCGGCAGGTATGGCTCAAGCAACAAGTCCGTTCATCAACACCTTGCCTACGGGCCCGCGCAGTCCGCACTCAAAGTCTGACGCGCCCGTTCCTATAGATCCTTCGCTTCCGGCCAACAGCCCCACCTACCCTCCCCCTACTCTCCCTATCAGCCTCAGGGGCACGAGATGGCGCAGTACCAGGGTCACCCCCCCTCCGCCTCAGCATATGTATGCGCGCCCGGATTGGCCGCATAGCTATGGACAACAGCATCATGGATTGCCGGGACCTTACGCCTCCCCGGCCACAACGGTTGGTTCTACCTCTCCTGTTGGTGCACTTGCAGGGCCGCGTTCTCCAAAGGTATGTTTTTGATGATTCCCGGGGGTATTTCTGAAGGCTTTTCACTTTGTTAAATCATTGTTGTCTTGGATGCCTCTGGGGTTGACTATACGGTCCGTAGCCCGTCCTAGGGATCGTCAAGAACAGCGTGCTCTGCCCCTCAATCACTTCCTTTTTGTGGATAGGATTGAGTGGTTTTTCAATCTATTGGGGTTTGATCAAAGCTGATTCCCAGTCTCCTTTTAATCTAGGTCTACTCATTTGTCCCAATTCCTGGCGCACAACAGCACAAGCGTCCTCGTCGCCGTTACGAGGAAATTGAGCGCATGTATAAGTGTGGATGGAACGGATGTGAGAAAGCATATGGTACTCTAAACCATTTGAATGCACACGTGACTATGCAGTCGCATGGCGCGAAGCGCACTCCTGAGGGTAGGTCCATCTCATTTTCTTTGCTTTTAGAGAGGTAGTGGCCAATGCGACGGAGATGTTGAATCTTTTGTCGCAAATTGCTGGATCGGGTTAGCGCCGGCTGCTGGACGCTAGTGAGTTACACTAGATGTCGCGGGGCCCGCAGTAGCGTGGCCGATGGCGTGGAGGCTAAGCTTGTCTCTTATCCCTTCCCGCCGTCCCCTCGCTAACAAGCATACCCATGCTACTTCCCATTTTGGCAACTGGTTATTAATATCCAACCTTGTAAGTTCACTGCTGACTTTGTTCTTTTAGAATTCAAGGAAATCCGCAAGGAATGGAAGGCTCGCAAGAAGGAGGAAGAGGCTCAGCGCAAGGCTATTGAGGAGCGTGAGCGTGCTGCCGCTCAGGCTGCCCAGGCCAACCAGGTCGAGCCTCCCAACCCTTCTGACCCATCCCACGGACAGCCACCTGCCTACGCCGGTGGAGTCCGCCCTCAACTCCCTCCGATCGGCTACCAGCCTGCGGATAGCCAGCCCCCCAGCCAGTACGGTGGTCCCCCTGGCAGTGGCATGGTCTACCAGAACAATGCACAGATGGCCTACCCTCCCAACTACCCTCACTCTCCCTACCAGAGCGGACCTGTGTACCCGCAACGTGAGTAACGTCGCCGCCTATCTCTATACCAGGATCGACCCTCTGGACTTCTCTTTCGACAAGGTCATCCCCGCCCGACCTGTCCTGCTGATCCATAAATTCGCTACGGCTTCCAGAGACTCAATCCGCCAACTATCCGCAATAATCTTTCCCACATAATCACTTCTTCCGCTATGGACCTACACGGACGGAAATGCATTTGCTTTTTCTTTCTTATCACGATATCCCCAGTCCTTGACTAATGTTCTCGTCCTGGATTCCGATTCCCATTTCCCCCAATACACCACATCCTTCCACTCCCAAGTCTTTCGTGCTATGATACCAACCTCTGCAGCTTTTATTCCTAATCTGTCTAAGAGTGGCCTTTCCAGCTTTGTTCTATACCTGTCATCCTTTTTGTGTTAGAGTGCATTGAGCTGAGAGGGTGTGTTGCCCTTCTGCACCTTCTCTCTGGTCTGTTTCCTACTTGAAATTTGATGCAGAAGTGGTGTATGTCTTATCTTTGTTTGCCCGTTTGCCGGGGTCGTGGCTTCAAGGATGGTTTGGGCGGCGGATTATTTGCATCTGTTCATTATCAACAGCATTCTCCCAAAATCGTTTTCCCGGGGGTTCTTTGATTTAGTTTTGTTTCTCGTTTCCCTTTTGTTAACTTTGCTACACCCAAGTGTGTTCTCTTGTCTCCTCTCTCTTTTCTTCATTTCCTTTCTATAACGTACATTATGCTCCACGGACTTATGTTCCAATCTGATTATGTGTATCATTCATTTTCATTTGTTCTTTCCTATCTTAAGTGCGTTCATTATCTGCAATCGGCTTAATTAGTGGCTACCTAGGTATTCTTGCTGTCATGCTGATGTCGTGTACTAAATACCCAAAAATTGTGTATGCAAAATATGGCACATTTCCAGTAACACTTGGGCAAGAAAGTAGGAAGCAGAAGTTACCAAATGCAGGCTAGTGTAATCACAACCCAAGAGAAAAGGAAAGGCAAAAGCCCTGATGTATCTCTGCTATGTGTTAGCCTAAACTAAATATGCCATTAAAAAAGGCATATAGAGCCGATCTAGAGAATCAAACATGCCTTAGCAGGAAGAATAAACAAACAAGTAACCACAATACTATCCTAATATAAGCCACGCCTAACCAAAATAAGCAAAAAGTAGTACCGGCACTTACCGTGGACCTAGCACAATACCATGCATTGGCCGTTTGATGTGCGTACGCACTGGCAACTACTGCACGAGGTACATATGTACCTGACTAGAACCGAATAAGACAGAGTGCAGCATACTATATGTGGACTGTACATCATACATGAGACAGGAAGCTAGTACCGTAAGGCGTCTCCACGTATTGGACATTAGTATCAGCCACCGATATCATCGTGGGGAGACTGGTAATTTTGCTTTTAGAGTTATTCCGAATTGTTTCTAGCTTGCTTCCCCTTGCTGCCTAAGCCGCGCGGTATGTCACATTGCTTCGTGCTTAGTCTGTTTCTCTTGTCTCCACTATCCAGGTGGTCTGTTAGCTTCGGACTAGTGTCGTGTGCTACTCTAGGTTGGCCGTGCATCTTACAAAGTATAGTCCGGTTGGGCTAGGGTGGACGCTAGCTAGGCGGAATGTAGTGTGATCTGCATGGGTATAAGTATGGAGTAGGTAAATGAGACATGGCCATTAACCATATGTAGCTATGCAAAGTCTTTCCATTTTTGGATCAGGACTGATGGTGGTGTATGTTGTTATTTGGAACTGATCTTGGGAATACTTGGGCATAATGAAGGATCTGAAACCTGTGGTTTTGATTAGATATTGAGGATGTAATAATAGAAAATCAATGAGATGGAGAAAGTTATGTAGTATATGAAGTCTGACGTGCACTTCAGTATATGTTGATTTAAAGTAGGAAAGTACATCTTCATCCACGGATCAGTGCATGAGCTAAGTGTAATGCAGATCCACAGAGTACCCTGAGGAACTAGTAAACTAGTAAAGTACTTAAACGCACAGAAGACTCTGGGAAATGTGCTCTAGCGCTCCCGTCAAGGCCCGCAGGGAACATGGGTTGAATGGGAAACTAAACTACTTGCAGCCTAGTTGGACTTGGAAGGAACCTGAGGTATAAATGGTGCCTCAGGCAGGAAATATAGTTGCCTGAATATGAAGGCGTTAAGTCTAGACCCGATATGAACTAGCGTCCGGACAATCTGCGAAATTGTTTCGCGGTCCATGTCCAACACGCAATGAAGAAATAACAATCTGTTCTTGCTTTTTTTCATTTTGCCACTTTGCCATTGTTGAATTTGTGTCTCCCTTATAGCATTGTGCAGGACACAAGCTTAATACCTGGAGATCACAGTAATCCGGTCATGACATTCCGGTTTCCGGGCTCGCTCGTGAACAGAGCTTTGCGCAGCCGACTTCTCACCGCGCAACAATACCGTGCTACTACCGCATCCCAACGTCTACCGCATACATGGATCGCGTCCAGTGATTATCGCCGATTTACCTCCTCGTCCTCCTTCAACCGCTCTTCCGATAGAGACAGCGATACTCGCCGCATAGGACATGTTGGCGAGAAACATTTTAGAAGTCGGCATGGCAATAGGCGGGAGGCTCAGCGTGTCAAATCTAGGGAGAGTCATGATATTTTGATGGCTATCGCATCGGGTTCGTTTACCGGGCGGTACAACAGTGAGCTCGAAAGTCCCGAAAGTAAGGCTCTGGATCCAGAGGCTGCTGAAAGTGAGAACCTGGAGAATGATCCCTATGATTACCAGAATGGTGAAAACGAGGTGAAGGAGAGCGGTGTCTCTGATGATCAGACATCCAAAGAACAAGATATCGAGGCCGATATTGAGGCCGATGCCGCCGATGGCGAGGCTCCCGAGAACAACAGCTTCCGTGGCCTACCTCGAGCTATGCCCAAACTCACGCCGAAAATAATAAATGAGGAGTTGAAATGGTTGAATGACCCACGCAAAATGGCGGATCGGGTTGCGCGCATTTTGCACAGTGGTAATCCGGCCCTGGCGGCGGCCTTGGTTCGTGCTGGAACAAAGCAGGGCATGAGATGTGATGTTGCCTGGAATCATCTCCTGCAATATTGCATGGATCAAAATCACCCGCAGGCTGCGTTTAAGTTCTACAATGATGTGAGTTTGTCATGCTGTGATGCTGCCATCCAGAGAGTTACCTGGGATTTGAGGTTTGGATTTGTATGCTGACAGAATTCCTCTCACAGATGAAAAAGCGGGGCAGGAGACCAACTCCCAGAACGTACACGATCATGTTGAAGGGCTTCAGCTCAGCCCCGAGGTCATTGGGTGTCGCCAAAACTGCCGCCTCTGTCTACCGCTCGATTAGCTCACCGAACTCTGGAGTTAAGCTTGATATTATACACACCAACGCCATGCTTACCGTCTGCCATCGTCATTGGGATATGGATCGGCTGTGGAAGATTGCCGGTGAATTACCCGAAGAGGGACCAGGTGCACCGGATGCTGCCACCTACACCATTATCTTGAACGCTGTCCAATTCGCAGCTCGCAGAGATATAGAGAAAATGTCTCCTGATGAGATTGACAAAATTCTCGAACGGAAGGCCCAGGTTATTACTGAAGGAAAGCGGATTTGGGCCGATGTCGTCTGGCGGTGGAAGAACCAGACCTTGCAAATTGACAATGAACTTGTTAACGGCATGGCCAGCTTGCTTCTGGAAGGCGGTAGTGATATTGACTGCTACAATGTCATGGAATTGTACAAGCAAACCATGGGAATCCCCATACTGCAGAAGCGACCCACTGAAAACGAGAAGACGACCCGCCGCAGGATCACCCCCGAGCAAACCCAGGCCATGGAAGACTCAGAGGCTACACGGCAATCAAAATTGGAAGACGTTCCGTTCGTAGACGAAAACAATCGACCAATCCAGAGTTTGAAATCAGCTGAGGAAGTTGAACAAGACTTGAGAGAAGAAGTGGAAGAAGAGATGGAGAAAGAGGTGGAAGAAGTGGAAGAGGAGGAAGAGGAAGACTTTACAGAACTTTTCAAGCCTGTCGTTCCCCAGGCGGAGGAGCTATCATTCCTTAAACCCGACAGCAAGGAACTGACTCTTATCCTGAACGCTTGTTTCACCATGACCCAAGGAACCGAAGGTGGACAGGCCTACTGGAAATACATGACTTTGGACGACCACGAATACCGCATTGATCCCGATACCTTCACCTACATCCAATATTTCCGCCTCCTCCGCATCTCCCGCTCCAGCAAAATCAGCGTCAAAACCATGCGTGAGCAGATGGTTCCCTCCGGCCAAGCAACCGGAACGGCATTCCACGTCGCTCTTAGCGTCTGCCGCCGTGATCGCCGCAACCGCTCAGTTCTCCAGCACGCGAACGAGCTGCTCGCCTTGATGGACAAAGCACTGATCCTACCTGACATCCGCGTCCTCGAAGGCTATCTGGAAACGATCCAGATCCTTTCCTCCAACCCGTCCGTCCTTCTGCAGCTCAGAGGACTCGAGGCAACCGATGACTCCACAGCCTCTAAATCTCCCAGACTGGAGTATCTTGGCAGGAAGCTACAAGCGAAACTGCGACTAGTTGCTATCGCTGCCTTACGGCCATATATCCTCCAGCTGCATGAGGCAATGGAACATGGCAAACCCGAGTCTAAGTCTCGCTGGAGTGCCATCCAGAACACACTTTCGGATTCTGTCGCCGGTCCGGCAGCTGTGAAGATCATGTCGCGCGTTCGTCTGGTGGTTGATGACACCCTCAAGCCGGACTATAAGGCTTATGTTTCGAAGGCTGAGCGCAAGGCCCTTAACGATGACTCGAAGATGCTGAAGAAGTATTCTGACAAGGACGTTATTGAGAGCTTCAAGAGGAAGAAGGTATATCCGACGCCTCAGCAGAAGGAGGAGGCGCGGGACCGCATCAGGAAGTTCCAGTGGGAGGCTCGCAACTTTCGGGACCAAGAAGGTTCCGATCAGAAAGAGGACTCTTCTTCGTGAGAAGCACGGATTGAGGCTTAATATTATTCGTGTTTTGGACACGACGAGACCGAGTGCGGTCTCGATTGTATTATGTTTGTATATCACACATTGGGGGCTATAGATGGCGTTGCATATTTGCATTATGTACATAATACCATTTGGTACATTCTCTACTTCTAACGTGAACAATAATCAAGATTATAAATGGGTTTGATGTTGCTATCGACTTGTTAGATTTATGTATGATCCCTGCCCTCCGACATCCAAATCTCATCATTATTATCCTATCTTTTCTACCCCATATTTGATACTAATGAATATCAATTCAAAGGACTATAGTATTCAAGACTTCGCCAAGTCGGGTTGTTGATGAGGACAATGTCACGCAATTTGATAGCCGATGATGAAATACATCCCTATAACGTGTTAGCCCTGGTCGCCAATACTGATGTTGCGCCTAGGAAAATGGTCCGACAGATTATAGTAGTTTATGCCGGCATTAGTGTTCGGAGGTTAAAAATATCCACGAGACAATGTGGTGATTACCCAGGTACAGTGGGGATGATGGCAAATGTTTGGTCTCTGGCACGCCATATGATGTTCTAAGAATTCACCTGTCAGTGCTCGGAGGTTTGCGGTACCCCTCTTTCACATTGTCGATGGCGCGAGATACGTGTGCGATGAACAAATTCCGAGTTAGGATGGTGCAGGGGTAGTATACCTGGGTAAAGCCATCCTTCCGGGCTTTGTTGATTTGGGACATGAGGGGCTGTCTCATTCTTATGGAATATCTCTAGATCGCTTTTGAACTTTCACGAGAAACTAGAACGTGAGTAAGAAAGCAGGCATCTTGTATATTGAAACCTGCGAATCATGGGAGACAGTGCAGCTGCTAGCCAGAATGGCTCGGCTGCCAACAATGGCAAGAAACAAATCTTGCTTAATGCTTTTGACATGTCAACCGTAGGACATTTGTCCCCTGGACAATGGAAGGTCGGTATAGGATTGTATTCGCAGGGCCAACACGCTGACAGCTCCACAGAATCCCCAAGACAAGTCTGCGACCAAGCGGACACTCGGGTATTGGATAGAGTTGGCGAAGCTGTTGGAGCGCGGTGGAATCAATGCGTTGTTTCTGGCAGATACAACTGGAGGTCATGATACCTATGAGGGCAAACTGGACGAGTGTATTCGGCGTGCGGCACAATGGCCGGTGACAGACCCAACTATCGTGAGTATCGACAAAAACAAAAGTTCCGATCAGAGTCTGACTCCTCAGCTAGCCCATTTCGGCAATGGCTGCAGTGACGAAGAATCTGGCGTTTGGCATCACAGCGTCGACTTCATTCGAGCAGCCCTTTTTGCTGGCTAAGCGCTTTTCAACCTTGGACCATTTGACTAATGGCCGACTGGGCTGGAACATCGTGACCTCATATAAGAAAGCAGCTTTCAAAGCCATTGGTGTGGATACTCCAATTGAGCATGACGAACGGTACCGCCAGGCAGATGAGTATTTGAGGGTGCTCTATAAGTGAGTTGCATGCCCATAGCTCGGTTAGATGATGGTTTTGGAGGCTAACTCGCGCTTGTGCGTATAGACTATGGGAGGGTTCCTGGGCTCCTGACGCCCTGTCGCCCAACCCCGAAGCAGACACGTACATTGACCCGGATAAAGTCCGCCAGATCAACCACAAGGGCAAGTACTTCTCATTGAGCACACGACACATCGTCGACCCATCTCCGCAGCGGACACCATTCCTTTTCCAGGCCGGAACTTCCCCTGCAGGATCGGAATTTGCTTCGACACATGCGGAAGCAATCTTTGTCTCTTCCCATTCGCCAGAGGTGTTGCAGCCGAAGATCGCAAATATCCGCAGGCTAGCCGCAGAACGAGGTCGCGACCCGCAATCAATCAAGTTCTTCAGTACCTTCACGCCAATTGTAGGCGAGACTGACGAAGAAGCGTGGGCGAAGTACGAGGAGCTGAAGAAGTACGCCTCGGTGGTTGGAGGACTGGTCCTTTTCAGCGGATGGACGGGCATTGACATTTCCAAAATCCCATTGGACCAAGACATCACCGCTTCAGATTCGTTGGAGGCAAACAAAGTCACTAGCTTGCTTGACTCGTTACTCACGACCAGCAAGGATATCCCGCGTTGGACGCCTCGCGTGGTTGCTGAGAGGGCTGCAATCGGTGGTCTTGGCCCAGTGGCTATTGGAAGCCCTGCTACCGTTGCCGATGAGATGGAGCGTTGGATCCGAGACGCTGACCTCGATGGGTTCAATCTTGCCTATGTCACTACGCCTGGCACCTTCGAGGAGGTGGTCGACCTGCTCATCCCCGAGCTGAGGCGACGCGGGATTTATCCTGAGCTTCCAGACCCCTCAGAGCCGCCCCTCACAGCCCGTGAGAAGGTCTTTGGCAAAGGACAGAAAGAGCTCAGGGCTGATCATATTGGAAGCAAGTACAAGTACGATGTGTATCAAGAGGACGAGCCTTATATTGACGGTACCGAGGAAAACTGATTGTCGAATGACATCTAATGCTTATTTAATTTATGGAGATAGAAGATCATTGGACGAAATAAGATCAGAAAACCACATAATATGTATGCAAGAGATGTGGAGAGGTGAAAGGTGAAACAAAACGTGCCTGGTAACATTACCCGTGACCCAGTACGTAATGCCACTCTAGCCTTTCCGGGACAGCTTGGCCAACTCCCTCATACTCCTCGATTACCTTGACCTTTCCTGACTTCACCTCTGAGAGGACTAAAACTAAAGGAGGTGCCATTATTGTGCTAGTATTTCAACCATCACGACCATACCACGCGAACCATGGCTACCGTACACCAAGGCCACCCCCATGATGAGCCCCATGATGACGAGTCTCTCCTGGGTGATGATTTGATCGAAGCCGATGATGGTGAGTACTTTTATTTGCCCCTGCTGACTGCCAGAGTATCGGTAAGATGTTAATTCGGCCTGATTCTAGCCATCGAGGCTGACGACCCCCTGCGCGATACCTCCGACACGGCCCCTCTGCGAGGCAACATTGAATCCAGCTCGAGCAACCGAGGAAACGCCTCTGGCTATGGCAACTACCTAACATCCTCTATTGGTGGTGAAGATCGCCGTGCGACGCAAAATACCATCGACGAGAGCGTTTGGGAGACATTGTCACGCGACTTGGTTGCCGTCTGGGAGAAGATGCGCCAGGTGCTTTGGCCGAAGTACTTGCTTGGAGGAATGATGCAGCGAGGAGGCAGTGGCACTGCTGATGCTGAACAAGGTGGTGTGTCTGGATTTGGTGGTAACATTCGTGGACTCGTTGGACGCTGGCCGGATGCCGACGTGGTCCTGCAGGGTGGCATGAGCGATGGGTTGCGGGACTGGGATCTCTGGTAAGCTATCCTACCCTCGGAGAAATCTGTATCAAGTCTAACACAGGGCTTATTTTAGGGGTCCGCTTGTCTTTTGCCTGGTCTTGAGTTTGTTCTTGTCTATCGCAAAGGGTGATCAATCGTCAGTGGTTTTCTCGGGTGTTTTCTGTCTCGTCTGGATCGGAGAAGCAGCTGTGACTCTTCAGATCAAGCTCCTTGGTGGCAAGATGTAAGTGCTATATGAATCATCCTCTGATGTCGCAGTTAACTGACATTATGGCCTCGGCCTGTTAGTTCTTTCTTCCAGTCGATTTGCATTATCGGTTATACGCTATTCCCCTTGGTTATTGCCGCCATGCTGAGTGCGCTAGGACTTCCTACCATCGCCCGGATACCAGTATATCTTGTGTTAGTCGCATGGTCTTTAGCAGCTGGAGTTAGCATCTTAGGAGGCTCGGGAGTGGTGCGGAACCGAGTCGGCATCGCAGTGTACCCGCTGTTTGTGTTCTACATTGCGATCGGCTGTCTCTGCTTCATCAGTTAAGGCTCTCGTATTGTGATATTGTGCTCAATAAAGAAATGCGCCGTCACATGCCTCTGATAGGTACCGGCGCAATGAATCTCAATAACATTGGATTGTTTGATTGTTTGTTGTTTGATTGTTTGATTGTATTAGAATAGCGCGGATACCGGTATATCCCAGACTTTGAATTGAATTTATTGCAAATTGTATCCGAGGCAACAATAGATTGTTTTATTGAGATGAATATGCTTTGTTCCCATTTCCATTGACGCTTTGCTATTCAACCCGTTTGTTGGGCCCCGCACCCGGCGGTCAACTTATAAGAACCGGCAAGCTAGGCTTTTCCTTCTTCTCTCACCTTTCCACCCTTCCATCATCTTGTTATTCTGTTCGCAAACTTCGCAAACTTAGCAAATTTCAACCCTTCCATTCGTCCTCGATTCGGCTGGTCCCAATCGATCCGGTATGTCATCATTGCTTGGGCGCATAGCCTCAAATCCCCCACATACTTGGGCAGTTTCGCTAACAACTTCCAAGCTCATAACAATGGACCGCACAGGTGCGTTTCGATTTAGTGATCCGTCTTTGTTCCGACCTGCAGCTCTTCCCTGGATCTACACCCTTTCTGCCGCATGGCTTTCTCCGACGTTCATGTGATCTGACGATATCGTCTTGACAGTGACTGCGCAGTCGCCTCCCTCCGACAATGACAGCGGCGAACGCCCTGTGCGACAACAGCTCAAGCAGACTAACCTTGACGCTGTGGGCGAAAACAAAATTTCTACGCGTCCAAACCGAAAGCGCTCCCTCGACAACACAGACGGAGCCACCGACTCACCCCCAATCAAGCGATCCCGAGAGTGCACCCCGGACATTACTGCTCCTGCAGCAGACAACTCCAAGCACGCCGCAATCCCCAAAGATGCCACTACCCAAGATGTGAGTGCAGATGTGCTAGCCACAGCACCTGTGAGCACTTCGGTTCACAATACACGTCTCTCCCACAACCCGATCATGAGCCACATTCCCGAGACCAAGGTCCAGTTTCCCCTGGACCTCGAGATCAAGGTCTCAATTGGTGGATTCGAGCAGATTAGCCATGTGACCGTTCCTGTTGAGATTGGTATCAAAATGACAGCTGGAGCAGTCTCCTTGGCTTCCTCGACTTCCAAATCCACTGAAGGCGAATCCTCCAAAATCCATGTCACCGTTCCCTCTGCAAAGCCTACTCCCCCATCTGGAACCCCGTCCTCCGGAGCCCCTCCCCCTGGAACTCCGTCATCTGGAGTCCCTCCCCCCTGGAGCACGATCCCTCGGGGCTCCGTCCCCTGGGACCCCTACCCAGACATTGCCCGATTACCTCCTTCCCGACCAGCCTTTGCCTGAAGCACTCAAGGATGAGTCTTTCCACATCTTTGAAGAACCTGAGTCAATTGGAGATTCTTCGTCTGAAGACTCTCTACCTGACTACCGTTCAACTGAATACCCGTCCTCTCCACCTGTCCCATACAGTCCAACGAACCCTGATTACCCTAGACCCTCGGTTGAAGCCCCTGAAGTCCTTGATTCTAACCACTCTCAATCCCCACAGAATCTTGGAACGACCGTCGGAAACGAGGATGACTCTTCACAACCCGAGAAGAAGAGACCTCGTGACAATTCGGAGGAACGCAAGGCTAAGGTGGACCAAGTGAGTTTGCTCCCTCGTCTTCCCCAGTTTCCTCCCCCTCTTTATCTTCCACTAACACTTGCTTCTGACAGACTTTCACCGCGAGTGCATTCGGAAAAGCTTCTGCCAACCCTTCACCTTTCGTAATGCCGAATAAATCGACGTCTGATGCTTCGCCCTTTGCAACCAAAGGTGCCCCGACTTCTGGTTTCGGTGGCCTCGGATCCGGATTCTCTGCCTTTGGCAGCGCTTTCCCCGCTCCCTCTGGTAAACTCACCAGTTTTGCATCTCCCAATGCCCCCGCCGCTTTCTCTGGAACAGCTGGTAAGCTGACCAGCTTCGCATCTCCAATGCCCCCGCCGCTTTCTCTGGAACAGCTGGTAAGCTGACCAGCTTCGCGTCTCCCAATGCCCCCGTTTCCCTTGCCGAGTCCAGTGACAAGACCCTCGGCGCAAAACAATCCGACAACGAAGAGAGTGACAACGAACCAGTCGGTGAACCTGATGACACCTTTGTTGCCGAGAAGACCGACGAGCGTTTCCACGCACAAACTGGTATGGACCCCGCGTTGTTGCCTTCCCCCTGGGCACCGAATATGGCCCGTGACTCATACCGATCTGAAAAATCAGTTGAAACCGGCGAAGAAAACGAGACCACCGAGTTCACAGCCAAGGGCAAGCTGTATAGCTTTGACGACAAAAAATGGAAGGAGCGTGGTGCCGGCACCTTCAAGGTTAACCTCAAGACGGAGTCCGACGGAAAGAAATCTGGCCGCATTATCATGCGTGCTGATGGTGCCCTGCGCGTTATGCTGAACAGTGCGATTTGGCAGACCATGCCATTTGGTGATATCAAGGGTTCTCGCCCGACTACTCGCGACATATACCTGGCGTCCAAGGAGGACGAGAAGGTGGTCAGCCTCCTTCTGCGTGTAAGTTTCCAAGTTCTTAATTTTTCGGGGTTTGGTTATAATGCTAACGACTCAACGCAGCTTGGAAATGATAAACAGGCCCAGGGCCTGTATGATGTTCTTAAGGATATTGTGAAGGAGATCTGAGCTATGTCGGTATGCTGGTCATACACCGTGTAAATAGCTAGAAAAAAAAAAAGGGTTCCCTCTTATAGGGGCTCAGAAGAGTTCTTGCAGATTTAGGGCTCCAGCTTTAATACACTTATGTAAACATTATATCTTCCCGTAGGTACTTATTATATCCTACTAATATATAGAACCAATAAGCTATCTCAATTACATTTAGTTAATATCCTCTTATAGGTTCTATATTTACGATATTACTTCACCTATAAAGAGTTCTTTTCTTCTTCTTCCTATCTTTCTATCTTCTTATCTACCTCTACCTCCTACCCTCTCTTCTTGATTCTCTACCAAGCCAAAGCCAGTACTCTGTCCGTGGTATACCCGCCTAAGGTATACCTTGGATATTTATCTGGCTAGTGAAGAAGATAGCAGGGTTGTGAATGCCGGGACCCGCGGAGTCCGTGGCTTTTTAAGTCATTCGTATAGTGGTCCGTACTCGGGATGTCTATTGCGCCGTATTCGGTGACTTATTTCACCGTATACGGGGTGACTGATTGCACCGAACTCAAGTACAAAACGCACATGCTTGTGCATGATATCCATGGAATTATCTCATCCTCAACTTTTTTTTATATAGACTCCAACGGTCTTCTTTATTCCAATTTGCTATCATGCGCATCGCCGTAGCGGGTTCTGGCGCCATGGCCAGGTACATCTGTGACGAATTCCCCAAGTATGGCCATCAAGTCGTCATACTGTCACGAAGCGACAAGCCGATCTTCAACGGCCGTCCTAATATCTCGCAAGTTGTCACGGATTACTCAGTTGATTCGTTGGTCGCCGCAATTGACAACTGTGAGATGTTGATCTCCATGATCCTCTCCTACGGGACCGATTTCATCGATGTCCACCTGAACCTGATCAAGGCATGCCAAGCCAGCCCGAAATGCAAACGTTTCGTCCCATCTGAATACGCAGGTGATCTGGTGAATTACCCAGATCTGCCTATCTTCTACTACAACACCCGTGAGCCTATCAGAAAGGTTCTGCGCGAGCAATCGGAGTTGGAGTGGACACTTGTCAGTGTCGGTTGGCTCGCGGACTATGTGGTTCCTTCAAAGAACAGATATCTTGCGGATGTTGGCCCGGCATTTCCTATCGACCTTGGGACGAACCAGATCATCATTCCAGGTACAGGAAACGACCCTATTGACGTCACCACGGCCCGGGATCTGGCCGCGGCATTGGCAATGCTCGCCAACGCACCTTCGTGGGAGCCCTATCTGTACATATCCGGTGAAAAGACGACTTGGAACGACCTAGCCAAACTCGTCCAGCAGCGATATCCTAGCATGACTGAGGTCAAACGGATCGGTCTCGGACAGATCCTCGATACGATTCAGACATCGACGGATGAAGAGGAGATTCTGGTATCGCACTACCAAATTTTCACACCACTAAGAGCCGGCTCTCTCGATCCGGAATTGGTGCAGCGTCATCGCGGCAAGTTCTTTGCTGGTTTGAATTTCCGGACACCAGAATACCTCATCAATGAGGCATTTGCAAACGGCGATGCGATTGTTTGAGATCGTGTTGGAGTAGGTGTCTCAGACAGCAACCCTTCGGATAGGTAGATCATGTTGAGACAGGCTATCTGTCGATGTCTGGTTATCAAGCTCCCCATTATCTTCAGCTTGCTATATTAGCTAGTTTTTATTCGGTAGAGAATCAATCCTTCTTGTCTCTCCCTCTCTGCTTCGCAGTAGCCAGATCAGATAGTTCAGGAGCCTGTCTCCTTTCCCAATACAACTCTCACCCTCCTACCTTTAGCCCTAAGTGGTTTTCCCAAGAGGCTAGATCTTTTGTTATATTTAATCATCGTCAACATTCTTAGGAGGAAGTCTATTAAACTTTTGTACTATGTAGAGAAGGTGTTGGATTTGTCGGATTAAGATCCACTTTCCGGAGTGGAGAGCAGAGGGATCCACAATCTCATCCACTAGCGAATCATCTCTTCTCTCCGCCTTTTTTGTATTTTACAATACTGTAACCATTGAGAATTCAAGTCGTATAACTGCTATACACGTCTTTCTCCAGGTAAATCCTGACTTTCTTAATCATTGCCATTTTCTCATATTTTGAGGCTATCCAACAGTAAGCACCACAAGGAGGCCCCAAGTTTTTCTACTTCTCGTAATAACTCGGTGGCTATCTAATACTCTACAGTCTAGTCCTAACCGCAATTCCTGAAACTCGACTTAGCGTTAGGGTAACGAGCCCGTGTCGATCAATTGGCGTTGATACGAGCGCACCAATTCTCTGGAGTTATTTTCTCACGTTCAGTTTTCAATTCTTCGTGCAAAACAGATATTAATACTCGTTCCGCCTCCGCCATCACCCCTTTACTCTACGGGTTTTCTTCCCTTCCTGGCAAGTACTTGAACGCTAGCTGAGACAAGGTACGCGCTAGGTCAATCTGGCATTAGTATCGAGATGAGTCCTCAGGGTCTGGCTCTACCAGCTGCGTTGGCCGAGATGGCCGATATCGGTTTCAATAATGAATCGGAAAATGAGAATGAGACGTGTAGTTGCGATTTCGAACTCTACGAAGAGTTCGAGGCGCTGGAGGAGACCTCGGACTGGTTTCGCATGTGGACTGGCAACGACGAAGTCGACGGTAGACAATTTTGTTTCTTCGGCTCGACTGGGGGAGGTGATTATGTCGGGTTCTGGCTGGTTCGTCCCAATGTGGCTGTCACTGAGCAGCCCGTCGTCTACATCGGTTCAGAAGGTGAGCTCGGTGTGGTAGCGAGGGATCTTGGTGATTTGCTCGTGCTGTTCGCGAACGGATCGGGTCCGGCTGAGGCGTTTAATGAACCGCGGCGTGAGACGCAGCAAAACGAGGCGTTCCGGGTAATTGCAGAACGATATGCCCCAGGGAGGACTCTCTCTACTGTTGAGATCGTCCGTATTGCACAGGAGGAGTTTCCAACGTTTTCCGAGTCCATCCACGCGATGTGTCGGTGAGCTTCAGCCTGCTTACACAAACCACTTGCTTGTACGGTTGCAAGGTTGAGCAATACAAACGTCGCTAGGTGATGCCACCTGAATATGTCTAGCTCTTATTCTTGAGAACTTTAAGCATTTGGTCGAGCAGGAGCAGGAGCATGGTCATGGAACCGACGCTCTCGTGCTCCGGTGTTCCGCGGCTTTGATCAATTCAAGCCATGCCTAGTTTTGGAGGTATTCGGTTGTACGTTAGCATGTTAGGTGGTAAAATGAAAGGAATTATCAGCCGGGATGGAGGTTTACCAATATAGGCCAGGGCACCAGGTGAGAGTGCTTCGCAATGGACACTGGTTTCTAGGAATGGTCTAAATCGTACATAGCCTGTGACTTATGAAGTCCCCTTGCTCTAATTCTGGGGTAGAAGATCTTGGAGACATGCTTGGTGCTACAAAATGCCGCGGTCCGTGACGCTGTACCTCTGCTGCAGCATAAACAGGGTAGAAATTTCTGGGATTAATTAAGGTTTATTTATCCCTAATGCTCAATTTTTTCTACATTACTATATTGTGTCCTTCTTCACTTGATTTCTCTTGCACCATTCTTACTTTATATTCCTACCTAATCCCCTATAGCCTATGTCGTATTAGAGACGCCATTCAGGTTCTTCAACGATAGTATATATGGTCGTCGAGACTGGAATCTAAGGACAGCGAGTGTGGATGCGTCGATGACCCCATCCAATAGGATGTAGTTCATATACGCGTTCTTATAAGGTAGGGGTGGGTCTGCCATATCCAAAAAAGAAACGACAGAAGCAGCAGCAGCAGTAATAGAATTAGACAGAAAAAAAGGAGTAGAAAAGTGTTATCTTCATTTAAACCTAAAGACGCATAACTAGTTATATGAAAAGGCGCGTTAAGACTTATGTCTAGTCCTGGGGTCACTGTACGCGTTGAAGTGGACCTGAGAATTGATTATTGACACAACACGCGACCTCGGGAGGCACCGCTGTGGTCATCTGTAGATAGCTGTAGCTTCAATATCTGCATAGTAGAACTTTGGGATAATACTCTGATGCACAAGGGTTCAAGCTGCATAATTACTTTTTAAGCTTGGCAACTTGGAAGATCTGAGACATTCAGCCCTCCCCAGCCACTTCCGGAATCCCCCAGGTCACAGATTATCTGATCGCAACCTCATATTCGCCTAGTTCCACAGTTTAGTCATGCTGCGTAGAATGGCATTGTCACAAATAGAGCTGTAGCTTATACGGAGTATTCCGTACTCCGTACTCAGTTCCTTTTAATTGAGATACACACATCGGTAAATTGCCGAAGAATTACCGCATTCTGCAATCCATACCCACTTGCGGGTAGATTTAGCAGTAGCCATCCACTCGCACGGCGGATCCCCTGAAAACTGGACTCATATTGCAGGACCCAGGAAAAAAAAATTGAAAGGGATTGATTGCCATATCAGTACAGGGGTTATAAGAGTACTTCATAGCCTCTTCTTGGCCCTACCCAAGTGGGCCGATTCAGATTTTACATTTCTTGCATACGCGATCTCCGTACGGGAACTCCCAGGATGTTTGGTCGATCTCTCACGGCAGCGTTGGCGATCGCACTTGCTGTCAATGGCGGCCAAGCAAGACAGCCGGCTCGAGATCCTTCCAGACATCACACCCACCATGCCGGATCTGGACCGATTGATACATCGAATTATCGATTTCTAACGGACAAGACCAAACGTATGCTTTGCTCCCATCCATTTTCTTCAATGTCGACTGACCAAAGTGTAATGTTTCCACAGCTCATGTGGTGGAGAGTCTACCGGACGTTCATTTCGAGTTGGGGAGATGTACTCGGGGTTTATGCCGATCCGTGAAAATGCTTCGTTGTTTTATATTTTCCAGCCGAAGATCGGGGAACCAAGCAACGATCTCACGATTTGGCTGAATGGTGGACCGGGATGTAGTTCAATGCAGGGCTTCTTGCAGGAGAACGGCCGCTTTACCTGGCAACCCGGCACCTACGAACCAGTCATTAACGAGTATTCATGGGTTAATTTAACCAATATGTTATGGTAAGTCATTAGTGAAACAGTAAACATGGCATGTCCGAGGATGCAATTGATCAACTGACTGACGTGTTTAGGGTCGACCAACCGGTTGGAGTTGGGTTCTCAAACGGTACACCGACTGCTACCAGCGAGGAGGACATCGCGGCCGATTTCATCAACTTTTTCGAAGAGTTTCAAGAAGCATATGGTATCAAGAACTTCCGAATCTTCTTAACTGGTGAAAGTTATGCGGGCCGGTATGTGCCCTACATATCCGCCGCGATGCTCGACAAGAATGATACCGAGCACTTCAATCTCAGCGGTAAGACCCGAACTTGCAATATATCGGTCCCTATTCTCATCCATACTAGGAGCTCTGATGTATGATGCGTGCATCGGCCAGTGGGATTACATCCAGGCTGTACTCCCCTCTTACCCCTTTGTTGAACAACATGCTGAGCTGTTCAACTTTAACCAATCGTTTATGGGGGAGCTGCAAGATACCTACGAACAATGCGGTTACAAGGAATACTTCGAGGAGTATTTCACTTATCCGGCCTCTGGAGTGCAGCCCCCCAAAGAAATGGTCTACGACGAGTGCGACATCTACAACATGATTTACTACGAAGCTTTTAATCCGAACCCATGCTGGAGTCCCTACAAGATCACCCAAACATGTCCACTCTTATGGGATGTCCTGGGCTTCCCCACAGACCTTGCCTACCAACCGGGTCCTGCAACCTATTTCAACCGCACAGATGTGAAGAAGGCTCTGCACGTCCCTCAAGATATCGACTGGGAGCTCTGCAGCGTTGACGGTGTCTTTGTGAGCGACAAACCCGGACCCGAGCAACAATACGACGAGTCTGTGAATCCCACAGAGCATGCCCTGCCACGGCTGATTGAGGCGACCAACCGGGTTCTGATCTCGAACGGAGATTGGGATTATCTTATCATCACGAATGGAACGTTGCTGGCGATCCAGAACATGACCTGGAATGGCGAGCTCGGCTTCCAGAATCGTCCCACTACCCCCATTAATATCGACATGCCTGACTTGCAATACGCTGCGGTGTTTGATGCACAGCAGGGATATAGCGATTTGGATGGCCCACAGGGGTTAATGGGGGTTCAACACTATGAGCGTGGTCTGATGTTTGCGGAAACCTTCCAAGCGGGTCACCGACAGCCCCAGGATCAAGGCCGAATGTCTTATCGCCATGTTCAGTGGTTGTTTGGTGATGATGAGCATCTTTGATGCCCTCCAGCTCGCGGCGAGACAATATTAGGTGCTGAGGTGCAAACTAAGCCGATGCGGCACGGTGATTTTACAGTAGGAAGCTGCGTGGATGTAGAGGTCACGGTGAGTGACAGAAAAGTTGGCAGATGGGTGTACGGCCATTTTTGGTCATCTTTCTGCCGTGTATAAAAAAGCATTCAAAGGTAGCATTGGGTCACAACTAGGGATTGATAGAGCGACTACCGTAGAAGTCACTATAAATGATCATTTCAGAAGAATTGCTTCAGAGTTAAATGAGACTGGCCGTTGGGGTATCGTTCGGACAGGCTCATTTTTCAGCACAGGAAAGTCTCTTCTCTTCATCTTCCCTCTTCGCCTTCCTCTTCTCCTAACCTTTTTCTCCGGTCTCCTCCTTATCACCTTTTCTCTCTCTCTCTTTCTTCCTTCCTTTTTTCCCTCTCTCAGCCACTCCCTTATACCTTAAGTGCAAGCTGGAAGGAAAGCCCTCCCGGCTCTCCATTTAGCTACTAGCTGGCACCCTGCTGCTCCAGTTCAGACCAATGCTATAGCCCGTGCCCCCCACAAATCATTTAATAGCCACAACAATACCCTCGCCACTTCCAGGGGGCTGATAGAAATTGACGTTCATTAAACCCACAGACGCAAGAAGATCCTGCCACTGCTTCTCAGACCGTTCAAACGCAGCAACCTGGACCATCATCATAATGCTCAGGCAAGCAGATGGCAGATCGCATTGCATATCCGGAAGAATCGACTCGTGGATGATCAGACGAGAATAACCAGGCTCCATAGCATCGACAATATTGCCCAGAATGGATCGGCAGTGCTCGTCTGACCAGTCGTGAAGAATCCAGTGCATGAAGTATGTCCGCGCGCCTATTTGTCTTTCATTAGCTCAAAGCACAATATGCGACCTAAGCATTACACACCCTTGACTGGTTGGGGGGTGAAAAAGTCGTGCGGTGTTAGCTCTATACCCTGTGGGAGATTCTCGATGGTCGAAACCACCTGCGGCAGATCCTGTAGGATCAAACGGCCAGGTGTCTCGGGGAATTTCTCTTGGAATTGTCGCAAATAATGCCCTTCGCCGCCTCCAACATCAACGAGAAGAACATCTTCGGGTTTGCTGTTAGACCCATCAATGATGAGTTGCTGGATGTCGAACCAGTCCACCCAGTTGAGGGTAGTCTTCTGCTTAAGTGTCATCCATCGCTGAAAATCCTTCGCCAGGTCGGGATTGTGGCCCAGCCACTCGAAATATTCCATGTTGGTATTGAATCCTAGTTGAAAAGGCGTGTCCTTTGCAGAACTGGGGAATTGGTTGTTATTCTTGCGGAAGAATTCCGGTGCTTTGGAGGCGCAAAGGTTGCCGACCTCAAAGCTACATATGGTCAATAAATCTCCAGCCAGCCGGTTACAAATGTAGATAGCTTGCACTGCACTGACCAGAATCGAGTAGTTGCTTCCATGATTGGGTCCGCCATCACCATGGTAAGAGGCGAGGGCTTGAAGTGTTGTACACCATCCTGCTTGATATATCCTGTCGCGGCGAGAAGCCGAGTAATCTGGTCTTGAGAGATTGCTATATCAGTTCCATCTGGCCTATTGCGATTATACTCAGGCAGGAATTGACAATATTCTCATCAATTACTGGGAATTGCAGAGGTATCCACCGTCTACATTGATGAACAATGTTCAAATAGGCCAATCTTACCAACAAGGATCAAGCTTGCACCAGATTTCTTTGCAATATCTGGAGAGGAAGCGCCACATTCTGGGCTTTGGCTGATTTGAGTAAAAATGCCCAGTTGAACACCCATACGAAGAGCCATCAAAACTGGGGAGTTCTGCAAATTCCAGAATTAGTTGCTATGTTTAAAGGCCACATCGCAAGATTGCAATAGATGAGCTTGAAGTTGAAGTCCTGGACAAAGAACATACCATCACTACGTCCTGAATGACCCTCTCAACAGGCGACTCCAGAGCAGCTAACAAACCCCGAGCAGCATCGAGTGCTTCTAAGCGTGCTTTCTCGTCGAGACATCGGGTCTGCACGCTACTGGTTAAAGCAGCGATCTGTGACGAGAGAGGCGTGTCCTTATTCTGGGTCATGATGAGTTATTTCTGCAGTGTCATAGAACTTCTAGAATACTCTGAGAGGATATTTGGAGCCTTATAAATTGTTCCGTGCATGAACGCTAAATATACACGGGGGCACCAGGGCCCTCCGGCAGATATGGGGCCTGGGAGCTCCCGTTATATGAACCGTGCTCATAAAAGCAGATCCACCCTACAGACTAGTATCACACGGTAATATAGCCGAGAGACTGTAGTTAGATTGCTTTACGAAATGCCTACTCCGTACTAGTAGGGTTATTATACAAAACATTAAATCTACTGGTTCCTATAGAGAACCGGTGATCTAGAGAGGTTTCAATAACCAACGAGTTCGGTTATATTCGAGTTATGCTCAAAATTCTTTTCTAAAAGAAGGTTCGATGAAGTTCGTAGCGGAGTTAGAATAGAAGATATAAGGGAATTTTGAGTACTCAGGCTTTTCTAAACAACACTCCTGTGAATAACCCAAGCGGGATGTAACGTAATAGTATAACTAATGAGATGACAGGAATCTGCATGGGCTAGCTCGAACCTAAAACTAGCATAACTAGCATAACTATCATAACTAGTGGAAATCGTGTTTCAGGCTCTTGGTAGTGCCACAGTGGCTTTTCCTCGATACGATGTACAAAGCTCAATGTAACTGCTATTGTGAAATCAACTAGTCTCAATATTTGTAAGGGTAGAGTCAAAGGATGAGGAAGCACATAAACCCAAGAAACCAATTTCCCTAAAGTCCGAGCGAATTGCCGTCCTAGAAATCACCACGATAATCTGCTTTGGTCCCAATCCTTGCCTTCTACTCCGTTCGGTAATATAAATATAATATAAATCCCTGTGAGTCGACCCACTTTCCTGGGGGCCAAATAACCAAAGAGTAAGACACAGTGATATTTTCCGAGGTATTTTGGATTTCAAAGGTACATATGTGGCTTTTCTTGCTCTTGGGTAATTGTGAGTTCTCTGTTTCTTACCGAAAAAGAAAAAGAAAAAGAGAGACATGGCGATTGTCATGCGAAGGCTTGGATACTCGCAAGCGACGTATTGAGGGCATGATCAACAATAACAATGGCAGATACTAGCACTGTCGCATATTGCGGCCAGCAACTCATCGGTGTATCCGTTGCTATTGCTGCTATTCAAATCATTATTGTCGGGGCCCGTTTTTACACTAGATATATCCAGCGAGTAGCGAATGGAATCGATGACTATCTAGTGATCCCAGCGTTGGTATGAATCTCTACTTATATTCAAACTCCGTGAACTTGCGCAATGCTTACATGACAACAGATTGCTAGTTTAGCACAATCGGCACTCTATATTTATTGTATGGCACTTTTACCCAGTATATTGGGGATCGGATACTGATGGACGCTACGATATACAGTGGTCAAGCGGGGAGGCCTTGGTTATCACCTCGAATATGTCGCGCAGACTCCATCAAAATTGGTTATCTTGCAGAAGGTTTGTTATAATTCGACTTGAGAGACTGTTAGCAGTGTCTGACCGGGCTTGTTCAGGGCCTCTACGCAAATCAAATCCTCGATTTTCCTTTCACTGTAGCGCCCGCTAAGATCTCGATCCTCCTCTTCTACGTGCGCATCTTTCCCGTCCACAAGTTTCAAATATTTGCCTATATCGTGGGCGCAGTTGTGCTAGGCCACGGAATTGGAGTCTTGCTCGCTGCGGTCTTTCAATGCTCGCCCATTGCATACACATGGGATAAAACCATCGTTGGAGGCTCGTGCTTTAACCAAGAGGCATTCTTCCGTTATGTTTCGCCCCCTAATATCTTGACCGATGTTTTGGTCTTGATAATGCCTCTGCCATACGTCTGGAAGCTTCACGCCCACGTTGGCCACAAAGTGGCCTTGACCGGCGTCTTCCTTTTGGGAAGTTTGTGAGTTTTCAGAACGTACTTCTGCCTGTAGGGATCCTAACACTGCCGATAGGGGAACTGTCGCAAGTATCCTTCGTATGACTATCTTTTTCCAGGAAAGTGCTCTTACAGATCCGACGTGTACGTCCTAAAAAAGTCACCACGCCCAGTCCCAGCTAATGTTAATAGGGACTTCTGTCAAGCTTGGGATTTGGACAATCCTCGAAAGTGGCATTATCATCATCGCAGCTTGTCTTCCTCCCAGTTGGCCTTTAGTTTCCAAAATACTACGTCGCCAACTCTTCATCAATTCTTCTTCAACACAACAGCCTCGTCCAAGGTATAGCAATACTCCGCGCCATGTAAAAGTTGGGCGTGGATTCTCGCAACTTGGACATAGCGCAAAAGGGGGAAAGCCGTCCCTCAACTTGAAGGTATCCCAGGCAGTAGACTCAGATCGAAATCCTGATGAGATATCCCTGGTGCGGGTTTCCCGATCAGGCGAAACCTAATTATGTCCACCTATTTGCAAATTCGCGACTATTACATTTAAGAGACAACCAGCTAGAACATTTTCTAGTCAATAAGAAGCATATTTCTGTATAATAATGACACGTCCGACCTCAGAAGCTACTATACTTAGGGTTCCAAGCTTCCGGAGACAGAAGGCAGCTGCAACCCGGCACCAGCGGAAATTGGAAGGATTTCACTGCTAGTTAGTGTTGTACATATGTTAAATTCAAACACAGCCCAAGTATGACATATATGAATGAAGGATCTTTAATGTTAGGCGAAGTTATTCAATACACCATAGTCAAAACGCAGATATATCAAGATCCCCACTTGGAGCATAGGCCAATTTTGGAACCATGGAACGGATGGCCATTTTAGGTGATATTGGCGCACGTGATCTCGCGTTTCCCGTCAACTAGGACTTTTATCAACCTCTACTCCAACATAGAGCACTATGGAGCCTCGACATGGCGGGCTCCTTGTCAATACCATTGCAAGCCTCATTACTAAAACGAAAACGAAGTCAAGAAGGCGACCGCGGCCTTGAGTCCAATGCGCCTCCTCCACCCTTAGACGCGTCGCCACAAGACCCTGCCGATCAAGCACCCTCGACTACAGCTGGTCCTCCGCCCAATGAATCTGACGCACAGATAGGCGGATCTATCAAAAGTATAGCCATCAAAAAAGCAGGCAAAGGGAAGAAAGCTACCTCGAAGCCGCCGAAGCCCTCGAAGCGAACACCATCTGCGCCATTGCCAGATGCCTTTAAGCGCCTCTCGCAAACCCATCGCGCTTTGAATCTCGTGTACACGTTTTGTTGCACGCGAAAGCACTTTGCCACCACATTTGACAACATAAAGAAAGCAGTGCAAGCTCAACTTGGTCAAGGGCGAGAACTCACCCCCGAGGATGTCGCACGTGTGAAAGTCATAGTCCCCGGGGCGGTCCGGTTCGAATATGTGGATGAAGCCAAGTTGGAAGTAATGACTGTTGGAGATGAGGAGATAGCTCAGTATGGGTTACACAAGCGGTCTAATCTGGCATTTGCGGCAGATATGGACACAGCCGAATACGCCAGAAGTGACGATCTTCACCATGCAGACGACACAAAGCAAGTTCTATTATTTGAATTTGTCGACGGCGATCTGAAGCGGGAAGTACTGAACCCGAAGACTAGGGAACCTATGAAAGCTATGCGTCGCACGAAAGACGACGATCTGAAAATGCCCGTCTACAGCCAAAAGCAGATGCTGGGTTTGATTGAAAAACGAAATTCCAAGTTCTCAGACGCTTTGGATGCATTTTTGGTTCAATGCGAGGACAACAATACTGATCCAGTGGATGTTCTTGAACAAGAGAAGAATGCTTTCCTGCCCATCCCTCCAAGCAGCGGGGCAAATACCCCTCTTGTGGCGAAGCCACCAGCAACGATTCCCAAGGAGCGAAAGTCCATTGCGGAGATCATTGCAGAGATTCGGGAGATGGATTGGTATCATGCACAGATTGTGCCGGAAGGCCATCGAGTATTCGAAGCCCAGTCTCCTGTCTACGGAGATCTGACATTCCAGCTCTCGCAGGACCTTGTCAATGCTCTGTATAACACAAAAGGAATCACTCAGTTGTATGCTCATCAAACAGAGGCAATTAACCACCTGTACGAGGGCCACAATGTGATTGTGTCGACGTCGACAAGCTCAGGAAAATCCCTTATCTATCAAGTCCCTATGCTACACGAGCTAGAAAAAGATCCGGAGAGCAGGGGGATGTATATCTTCCCCACTAAAGCCCTGGCGCAAGATCAGCGCCGCAGCATGATGGATTTACTTCAGTATATGAACGGGCTGCAAAACACAATGGTTGAAACGTTTGACGGGGACACGCCAATGGGGAGCCGGAACTCCATTCGTGACGAGGCGCGGATCATTTTCACCAATCCTGACATGCTTCATATTACAATTTTGCCACAGGAGAGCTCCTGGCGCACCTTTTTGAAAAATCTGAAGTTCGTCGTTGTCGACGAACTACACGTCTATAACGGCTTGTTTGGATCTCATGTCGCTTTTATCATGCGCCGTCTTCGGAGGATCTGTGCTGCAGTGGGTAATCGTCATGTCAAATTCATATCTTGCTCTGCTACCGTTGCAAACCCGGAGGATCACATGAAGTCTGTCTTTGGGGTGCAGGATGTGAAACTCGTCGATTTCGATGGATCCCCCTCTGGTCGTAAGGAGTTTGTTTGCTGGAATACGCCATTCAAAGACCCCAAAGACCCTACCTCTGGGCGCGCCGACACTGTTACTGAGACTGCGAGGCTGTTTTGCCAATTGATTCTTAGAGGCGTGAGGGTCATTGCCTTCTGCCGTATCAGAAAGCTATGTGAGATTCTCTTACAGGGCGTGCACGCCGAGTTTGATAGACTCGACCGAACAGAGATCGGCAAGCTAGTGATGGGCTATCGAGGCGGGTATAGCCCTCAAGATCGACGTCAAATCGAAAAGGAAATGTTCGAGGGGAAATTGATGGGAATCGTGGCTACCAACGCTCTGGAACTGGGTGTTGATATTGGCTCCCTGGATGCAGTCATCACAATGGGGTTCCCCTACTCGATTTCCAATCTACGCCAACAAAGCGGCCGCGCCGGACGACGTAACAAGGACTCCCTCTCCGTCCTAGTCGGAGACAGATATCCAACCGACCAACACTACATGCAGAATCCAGATGAAATATTCACACGGCCGAATTGCGAACTGCAGATCGACCTCTCCAACGAGCTCATCCTCGAAGGTCACGTCCAATGTGCTGCATTTGAGATGCCTATCCGCCCCGAAGAAGACAGCATCTACTTCGGGCAACAGCTCCTTGCCCTAGCCCCAACGCGCCTCACCCAGGATCCACTCGGCTTCTACCACTGCCACCCACGATTCCGCCCGCAGCCCTCCCGCAGCGTGTCAATCCGCGACACAGAAGACCAACACTTCGCCGTCATAGACACAACCAACAACCGCAACATAGTCCTAGAAGAAGTCGAAGCCTCGCGCGCCTTCTTCACAATCTACGAAGGCGGGATCTTCCTCCACCAAGGCACAACCTACCTGGTTAAAGAACTAAACACCGACTCCTTCCTAGCGCGCGTCGTCCGCGTCCACGTCGACTGGAACACCATGCAACGCGACTTCACCGACATCGACCCCATAGAAACGGAAATGATGCGTCCGGTGGGCAACGACCCCTCCGCCTCACGCGCCTTCTTCGGCGCCATCCAAATCCACGCCGTGGTCTACGGCTTTTTCAAAATCGACAAGCGCGGCCGCGTCCTCGACGCCGTCGCCGTCGATAACCCGCCAATCGACCGTCTTACCAGGGGGATGTGGCTCGATGTCCCAACTCGCGCTATCGACATCCTACAATCCCACCGGCTAAACGTAGCCGCGGCTATCCACGCCGCTGAACATGCCGTCCTCTCCCTCCTGCCCTCATTCGTCGTCTCCTCGCCCGGTGACGTCCGCACGGAATGCAAAGTCGCGAAGAAAGAGCTCGGTCGGCCGCTGCGCCGTGCGAATGTACCCTCTGAATTCGAGGAGAAGCTTAAACCGCCTTCGCGGCAGAGACCTGCGCGGCTTACCTTCTATGATGCGAAGGGTGGGTCGTGTGGTTCTGGGATTGCTAGTAAGGCGTTTGAGTTTATTGGATTGCTTCTCCGGCGGGCGGTTGCGCGCATCGAGGCTTGTTCTTGTCTTTCGCCGCAGGGCTGCGTGGAGTGTGTTTGTGATGAGCGATGCAAGGAGATGAATGTTGTCATGAGTAAGGCTGGCGCTGGGGTTATACTGCGGTGTTTGCTGGGGTGGGAGGTTGATGTTGATGCCTTGCCGTGGGGGGAGGATGTGGAGGGGGATGAGTTAGGAGTAGGTGCTGGAGAGTTGGCTGGTGGGTTGGAGACAGTTGTCAGGGCCGAGGAGGTGCCGTGGAAGGCTGGGTGTCGAGTTAGTTGTTGAGAGATACTATAGTAATGTCGTATGGCTTGATACCAAGTGCTCATTTCTGGCATTAACAAGTAATTGCCTGCGACTGCCTTGATAACCAGGCTCAGCATCATGGTGATGGCAGCTACTGACTGTTAAGAGGCAGAAGTAAGTGTATGGGGTTGAGAGAAATTAAAAAGAAAAAGTCATCGCCTGGATTGACCGGCGATCAAAACGGCAGGCACGGGTCCAGGCGACACGGAAGGCAGGCAAACACCACAGCAAGCGGATTGAGGGATAAGAAATACAAGAGTATCAACCCGCTAGACTATGGTGTCCACCGTACCTTGAAGGGATAGGGCAAGCAACGATCTATAACACCCGCAAAGCCTCAGTCACGGGTGATATTTGTGCCGAGTCTGTCAAATCATGGAAGAGCTTTCGGATGGCTCCGTCATACTTGTAGCAGGAGGCTGATTCAGGGCTTTCTTTCCCACTCATTTAAGAAAAGAGAAGGTGGCCTCGGAAGTTTGGACGTATAAGTACATAAGGTATAACGAACGGTATCAGTCAATGATCCATAGGAATTTGGGTATAATAAATGTACATCAAGTCATGACCGAGAAAGACCTCTTCGGGGTCCAGGGGGGAGGGGGGGATAATAGTGTGACAAGGTAGATAAGGCGAGTAAAGACGTGTATATGTGATAATGATGGGGAGAGTGATTGAGACATTATATAGCAAGGACAATTCAAGATAAGGCGAGAAGAAGGCGGGAAGGAGTGAGGAGATGGCAAGAACAGAAAGGATGAATGTGAGTAGATGTCCAATGGGAATTTCTTCATCGGGGAGACGGGGTTTTGTGCGTCCAGCCGCATGATTGAGTGGAATTGGCTGCCTGGGCGTTACCTGTAACTCAGGCACCGAAGATGGATGATGCAAAGACGAAAAAAGCCCTATTCACTGAAGACCACTATGAAGGGCTCCGGTCGTCTTCGGTTTCATCCAAATTCAACTTCCCGAACAGAGACTTCATATCA